TATACATGTATGGAAAGATATGTACAATGATATTCATTTTAGCAATATTTGTAACAGCGAGAAATCAGAAATGATCCAATTTGCTCCACTAAAGGATTAGGTAAATAAGTTATGGTACCATCATATGGTAGAATCATCTTTACATTGTAGAAAATGGGAAATCTCTTGAAAAGATGTATATACATGCTGTGAAGGGGGGAAAACAAGTTGCAAAATAGTATGTTGAATCTGATTTCATTTTTTAAAAGCAAATTCATAAAAGTTACCACTTTTAGTTACATATATAATTTTTATTTATATAAATAAATACATCTGGAGCTATATGCAGCAAACTTGTGTTTGCTAGGATTGTGGAGACTTTTTAATCTGTAAATGAATTTTTGATAAGCAGCATTGCCTTGGTAATGAGAAAAATGTATATATATGAATGAGTATAGCGAGAGGCACAGTCCTGCAGACTGTTTGGAATAAGACCCACAAAGAAGGAAATTAAGTTCCCCCTAATCTTGCCAGGGTGCCCCACTGCCGGCTTCCTTGCAGGCTTTTTTCTGTGCACAGAAAGGGGGGACTACACAGTGGTGAAGAGCACAGACTTAGCATCACGTCCATCCTTAGAGCTGGGAGGCCATCCACAGGTTCCTTAATCTCTCTAAACTTCAGGTTCCTCGTGCGTACGATGGCCATAGTCATTTCCCTGCCCCAAAGGGTCCTGCATACAAAGGTTGCACCTGGGAATACGTATGCCGATGATCCACAGAACGATGACACGCGTGAGTCTCTGCCCGGAGCTCTGCGCCTGCTAAGTTCTCAGTAAATACTAGTTTTTATTAGAGAAACATTATTTTTTTTTAAGTTGGGACCATAGTATACAGTTTATCAGTCTGCTTTTTTTAAGTAATACCAGCCCATTTCCCCCATATCCTTAAATATTCCTCAGAAACATGATTATATTTTTCCTGCATTCCATCACCTGCACAGACCATAATTTGCCCATGAAACCCCTAAAGTTGGGAATTTGGGTTTCTTCTCCTGTTATTCTCTTAACAAATGCAGTGAAGAGCATGCCTGTTGGTGGATCTTTGAGTCTCTTCCTGTAATCATACCTGTAGGAGGAATTCTCAGAGTAGAGTATCGGGTGTGTGCACGGTTCAGGTTCACACCTGCCGCCCGTGTGCCCTTCAGGCTGGTTGCACGCGTTTCCACGCCCTCCCCTCCCCCAGCAGAACGGGAAGCGCTTTCACCACATCCTGGCTCCCGCTGGGTTTTACTTGAAAAAGAAAAAACAAAAACCCACAAACCCCAGAACTGCCGTATACATTTTAGCTTTTTAAACTCTTAAAAGGCGATGCATATTCTTTATCAGAAAGATTTTGAAGAATAAAAGTGTATAAAGTAAAAAATATAAGGCCCCCTCAGTGCACCGCCCCCACCCAGATCCCACTTCCAGGGAGGCGGTCATTAAGTTTGATGTGCAACTTTCCAGACCCTTTTCTGTGTTGTGGGTGTATGTGCCCACACAGTGTGCATGTGTCATTCGCTTAAGATACGACTGGAATCACGCTGTACGTTCTGTTACGTGCGTCGGTCAGTCGGCAGCATGTTCAGGGCAACGTGTTATGGACGAACTTCCAAGCTGGTTCATACAAATGTCGCTAAGGGCATCATAGTATTTCAGGGCGGGTGAACCCTAACTTAGCCAACCGGCCACCAACCAAGCTCTAGCAACAACTTAGGTTGTCTCCAATTTTTCACCCTTTCAAATAATGCTTTTGTGAGCTCCCATACATCTTATAAATCTGGTTTTGAGGATCTATTTCTAGAAACAGAATCGCTGTCAAACATATTTATTTATTGTCAAACAAACCTAGTGTTGTCATTTTTTCCTAAATATATGTCAGTTCAAGGCATTCTAGCAAATCTGTGTTCATTTATTCAGTTGTCCATTCAGTGACCCCGTTTGTTGAGTGCTTCATGTGCCAGATGTGGTGCCAGGGGTACAGCTATGGACAAAGCAGAGGTGGTCTCTTTCCTTGTGGAAATGATCGTTCGTGAAGGGAGAGGCCCTCCCTGCCTGCTGCCCTTGTCTCTGGTTCTTGTTTAAAGTGGGAGAAGGTGGCAGGGGGTTGGGGGACGTCTTTCCATCAGAGGAGATTGCCTTGTGAAAACCCCCGTTGAATTGTCCAAGGGCAGCCGTCCGCCCGTCGGGGCCGCCCCTCATAAACTCCACTTAGGGAGCAGACGGTCGGGGCCACCCCTTCCCTGTGCCAGGGGAAGCCCGAGGTCCCAGGGCTGCAGGGAGGGGCCGGGCCCCTTCTTGTGGAGCAGAAGGGGAAGTAGCAGCTACCCAAAAAACTGGCTGGTGCTCAGGGAGGGCCCTGGGGACCAACTGTGTGTCATTGTGAAAGTCGGTGGTTTCTGCTTTTCCTCTTCCTCCTCAGAGAGGGACCAGCGGGCCAGGGTGGGGCTGGCAGTTCCAGTCACCCTCCTGGGGGCTTCACTGAGTCTGAGAGGCAGTCACTGTGTTCAGAAGATTTCCTGGGGTGACGTGTCAGCCATTGTTGGTGTTGGCAGGGGAGGTGGGGCCCAGGCTGACCCAGCAGGAAGGAGGCAGCCCGGCCCCCCATTCTTACCCAGGAGCCCCAGGGGGCAGTGACTTGCCCAGGCCACCTGGGCAGTCAGCAGCAGAACCAGGGCTTCACCTCTGTTTCTGGGTCTGCAGCTCCCCCTGCAGCGGCTGCTGGTCTCACCCTGGGAGGTGATAGCTGCCCCCTCCTTGCAGTGGCTGGACTGTCCCTCTGAGGGCTGCCATCAGCTGATGGAGCAACTTGTGCAATCAGCATTGGCTGGGCTCAGAGACCTCACAGTAACCCTGCAAAGTAGCTCTGCATTGTCACCACCCCAGTGTCACAGACGGGAAACCGAGGGTCAGAGGTTTGGGACTGTCCTGGCCCGGCCTGTCTCCCCGCTTACTTGCTTCCACCCGCCTCTGGCTGTGCCGCCCTGCCGCTCCCGGGGCCCTCCAGCCCATTGTTTCCTCTGCTGGGAAACCCTTCCCCCAGATCTGGACCTCCCGGCTGTTTCTGGGGGCCACCACCCAGCACTCCACACCCCTCTGCCCTGCCTTCTCCCTGTGGGCCCTTCTCACGCCCCAGAGTCCCCAAGAATCACGTGGGGTGTGCTGAGGGCCTGTTTCCACCACGGGAATAACAGGCTGCACAGGGGAGAAGATGCCCAGAACAGTGCCTGGCCCAGAGCAGACGTCCAGTTAGTGTTTGCTGGACCAGTGAATGGCTCGAGCGACTCAGCCTGACTTCTTCCAGGCCTCCCTCCCGCTCCCCGGCTCTCTGTGCTCAGCCCCCCGCAGACTCTCCCCCACACTGCACTCCCACCTTTCCAGCATTCTACGCAGTTATGAAGGGATCCTTGTTGGCGTTTATCTGATTGCTTTCTTGGTCCACCTCTCAACTGGGAGCTGCCCGAGGGCAGATGGAGTTGGCTCTTGGTCCTCATTGCAGCCTCCGCCCCTGGCTGGCTCCTGATGGCCTGTGAATACATAGACGCACGAACCCAGGAAACAGAAGCCTGGGGCCCAGCTCTGAGAGCGTTATGCTCCCTCCTGCTGTGAATTGTGAGTCAGACTGAAGCTCCTGAATACAGCAGCTGTCACCTGACGGGGTCTGGGCCCGCCCGCCCGCTCGCTTCAAGACCCGGCTCCGGCAGTCAGGACAGCTCTGCCGTTCCGCCAGAGGCTTCCAGTTACGCCTCACCTCCCCGCTTCTCCCGAGCTGTTTCTTCCTCCTGAGTTTAGTTTTTAATCAGATGACTGCCCCTGAAGACTGGGGAGAACCTGTCTTTGTCTCTTTTGCTGGATTCTTCTCTCAGCAGTGGGTGTGTGAAGCCTGGCGTGTGTTTCAAGATGCACCTTCCTTATATATTTTCTGTCAGTCCTGAAAGTCATACATGTTCATCGTAGCAAACTTACAAATTGAGAAAAGTACAAGGCGCTCGCCTCGTCTCACCATCCGCAGACAGCCGTTTACGCAAGCTGGGGTATCCCTTCCAAGTCAGTTCAGTGTATATTTTTGCCCTTTTTGGGGAGAGGGGTATAATTCTGACCATACAATATCTTCAACTGTGCATCTCCCCCTTTTCCCACTTAACCTTATGATGTAAATATATAAATAAAATATTTTAATATTGCATTAAATATTAAATACATATTTAATGTTCCATATTGATATGTATTAATATGTATAATTCAGCATTGAAATATTGAATAAAAATACTTCAGATCCAGTTGTAATGAGTATAAAATACTGCACCGTGTGGGGTGTTTCACACTTTTCTTAATCTGTTTAGTCGTTTACCGTTTACCTTATCTTTCTTTCCTCTCCTCATTTCTTAGTTTCTCTTACTCTGTGTGTGCACATTTGATACACAATCTTAAATCCTTTTTGGAAAAGACAGGACATGTTATCTATGGTCTATAAGAAGCTTTAAAGGCACTGCCTCAGTTTTGCGCAGGGGCCGTGTCCTAGCCGCCCAGGCTCATCCGAGGTGCGATTGTTGCTGATGACGATCGCTCCCGGAGAGCTAAGCGATTCTGGTTGTTTTTAATTTGTCACTAGTACAGTGGCACTTTGATGAACATCCTTAGGCCTAATTTTTAAAATATTTAAGATGATTTCATTAGGGTAGATTCCTAGATTTGGAATTACTGGATCTGAAGAATATGGGTATTTTAAAGGTTTTTGTGATTTATTGCCAAACTGCTTTCCTAAAAGGCTCTTCGGCGTAGACTCTGGTTAGCAAGCAGGAGCGTCTCGAGGCGCTCTTACAGCAGTAGCTGTCTTGTAATGATCGCTCATTTGCCAGATAGAAAATGGCATCTGTTGGTTGACTTGGAACACATGTCTCTGAGTCCACATCACGGGCTCGTCCCCGAGGCTGTGGGTGGAGGAATGTCCATTGAATACCCTATCTGAGATTCTGTCTTGCAGCTGACTTTGGTGTATCTGCCAAGAATCTGAAGACTCTGCAGAAGCGAGATTCCTTCATCGGAACGCCTTACTGGTGAGTCGTGCGGCTTCTGCACATGGAATGGTGGACTGCGTGTCAAACCTCAGACTCCCCAAGGTGACCTCTGGCTGGGACAGAGGGAGAGCACAGAAGGCCAGGGCTCAGGGCAGCCTGCTGGGTCTGAGCCCCGTCTCCACCGCTTACTAGTCCTGTGACCTTCATCAAGTTGCCTAGCCTCCTAGTGCCTCAGTTTCCTCATCTGTAAAATCAGGGAGATGATACAGCACCTACTTACTGGGTTATTGTGGGGGATTAAATGGCCTGATGCACAGAGAAAATGCTCCATTAATAACAACTCAACTGGAGCCCCTAAAAAATGGTCCAGTTCTTGATTAATTCCACAAATACGGGTTGAATGCCCAGCATGGGGATGGGGCTGTGAAGACGAACAGTACCAGTTCACTTCCTCCCTTCGTGGCAAGTCTCCCTGGACTTCTCCAGTCCATCATGTTTCCTTCTTTTCTAAAACTATGGCTTTTTTAAAGACAAGCTCGCTCCCTCAGCTTCCCACCTGACTCCTTTCTGTTTTCCGGTGTGTGACTTCCCCTTAGAGTTAGGCCCTTGCTTGCTTATTACTCACCCTCTCTCTCTCTGTCTCTCTCTCTCTGCCCTTTTATTCCCCTTTCCCCTTTCCCCTTTCCCCCCCATCCCTTCTTTGCGCTGTTGTCTTCTCTCCACCCCTCCCGCCCCCGTTTCCTTCTGGGCACCTTCCCCTCGGCCCCACCCGCCCCCCAGGACTCTGTTCTGGATTGTGGCTGCCCTCTTGTGGTAGGCGTCGGGACTGCAGCGGGACGTGGCGGTGGAGCTGCTAGGAAGGCATCTGTGTGAAGACCGTCGTCAGGAAGACAGTGGGATGGAAAGTAGTGCAAATCCTGATTGGGGAGTGCTGCCAACCCCCGACCCGGACGTGTGCTGGTCCTTGAGCCTGAGTCTCTGAGAAGCGCCTGTGCAGGCCATGTTCTTAGCCCTCTGTTGTCCCTTGGTTGGTTCAGGATGGCCCCCGAGGTGGTGATGTGTGAGACCATGAAGGACACCCCGTATGACTACAAGGCTGACATCTGGTCCCTGGGCATCACTCTGATTGAGATGGCCCAGATCGAGCCCCCGCACCACGAGCTCAACCCCATGAGGGTCCTGCTCAAGATTGCCAAGTCGGACCCTCCCACGCTGCTCACCCCTTCCAAGTGGTAAGGAGCAAGGAGGCCTCCCTGAGGGTGTTTGCTGGACGGCCAGCGGACCCAGGACGCAGGGCAGGTGGGACTGGGGATGTGGAGTGCCAGGGCTGTCCTGTCACTGCCAGCCTCCAAAGTGGGGGTACAGTCAGGGCCTGGGGTCTGCAGGCCTTTCTGAGCTCCCAGGGCCCTCCACGCCTCCTCCTTCTGTCTGCTCTCCGCGCGGGCTGTCCGTCAGTCTGAATCAGCCAGATCCGCGCTGTGGGAAGGAGAACCCGAGTGAGCCCCAGCGGCCGTGCGGCACAGCCCCGGGCTGGCAGTGGGCTCGCACTGAAGCCCCAGCCCTGCCCGCTTCACTGCCCCTCGGATTTCCACGCGCCCGGCTGTACAGTCATGTCCGAGGCGAGAATGTCATCGTGAAGCCCCATCGCCTCCGCTGTTGGGCTCTGAAGGAACCCTTTGTCCTTTGAGGGGCGGGTCCGGGAAGCACACGACTCCCGGGAGCGGAGTCTGTGACACGGGGAGTTGCCTTGGCTCTTGCCGGGCTCAGAGCTCACTGCCACCTGCCCCCCCCCCCCCCCCCCCCCCCCCCCAGGTCTTTAGAGTTCCGAGACTTCCTGAAGACAGCCCTGGACAAGAACCCAGAGACCCGGCCCAGCGCTGCGCAGCTCCTGGAGGTGAGTGGTTCCCGGCCGCGGGGTGGCTGCGCGCCCCCCGGCCCTGCCCTGCCTCTGGAGGCCGAAGATGGCTGAGATCACCCAGTACTGGAAGCTGGAGCCGTTCCTCCCGCAGCCCGGGGGACGGTGTGCACCACCATTTACTCATCCACCGACATTCCCTGGGCGCCTCTTGAATACCAGCTCTTGTGCTGGGCGGGGTGTGGTGAGGGAAGCCCCGCTGAGCCCTGTCCTCGTGGGGCTTATGTTCTAGTAGGGGGACAGGTGGCAGACGAGCAGATATGCGCACGTTAGAGGTGGCGATAGGGGGCGATGGAGAAAAATAAAAGCGCAGGGGACCGGCTTGGGAGGGGCTGCTGTTCTATAAAGGGAGGGTCCGGAAGGCTCTCTCTGAACAGACACCCAAGGGAGGCGCGGGAGCGAGCCCAGTGGTACCCGAGGGTGGAGCCAAAGGCCTGGACAGGAGCATGATTGGGGCAAGCAGGGGCACGCGGCCAGGTGGGGGAGCAGGGGTGAGGGAGGGGGGATAGAGAGGCGTGGGTGTGTCCACCCCCAGGGGTGCGGATGCGCTAGGAGGACGCGCAGGACTCCGCGTAAATCGCGCCGCTAACACTCACTCCATCGGAAGGATACAGAGACGGTGGCCTGTGGGGGGAGCAAGCGCGGGCCTCCGGGGTCCTCTCCCCGTGGAGTGACATGGGATGCACTTAGTTCCCCCCACGACGGGTTGGGACGGCCCGTGTGAAGTCTCCCAGGGCAGCCCATTAGTGTCCCGGGGCTTGTCCCCAGGCAGCCTCTGCATCGCGCGCGCTGACGTTGCAGGCGCAGAAGGCAGGCAGGTGTTCAGCCCGAACTGCGTTGTCTGCGCCCACAGGTCAGGCAGATGCGGCCCTCGTGCCGGTTCCCCGGTGGACCCTCCGGTGCCCCGGGCTTCCACAGGCCAGCCGGGAGCCAGCGTGGAGGCAGGCCTGCGGAGGAGAGCCAGGGCCTCGTGGGCCCAGGCCGGGACTGGGGCTTCGCCCTGGATGCGCAGGGCTCCCTGAGGGTTGGGAGTAGGGAGACCGCCTCTGACGTCCGCTTCCAAGGGTCCCTCTGGCTGCCGTGCGCGGAATCGGGGAGCCCAGCCGGCTGATGGCCGACGGCCGACTCTGAGCGTCTCCTTAGCTGGCTCTGTTGCCCTGGGGTGGGAGAGCGGAAGATGGTCTGCCTGAAGCTTCTTGAAACACTGGAGGTCGCTGTGGGCACCCTTTGCTGAGCTGAGCCTCGTGTTCTGAAAGCTGCACGCACCGCCTGCCCAGCTGTCCCCACGTGCCCGTGCCCCCACTGCCGATGGGAAAGGAGGAGGGAGCAGGCCTGGGTGGTGGGAGGGGCTGCCCCTTCACCACCTGTCCATGCTGGTCTTTCCACCTGTGCGGCAGCCTCTGACGTGCAGTAGGAGGAGAGGAGGAAGAGGCCACACCAAGCGCTCCAGTCTTTCTTTGTTTCTTTACGCTTTTCCCAAGTACCTACTGTGTGCCAGGTGCTGGGCCTGTGGTCGACATTCTGGGCTACAAGTGCGCCCCTCTGCAACGACAACACAGTGGTTGGAAAGTCCTGAGTTCAAATCCCAGCTGCACCCCTTACTGGCTGTGCAACCCTGGGCGAGTGACTTAACCTCTCTGAGACTTGATTCTTGCTCTAAAATGGGGACAATAGCCATGCCCCGCTTCCAGGGTTGTGAGGGTTGAGTGAGAAAGTACTGTAAAGCACGTAGTTTAACTGTTAAGCACTGTGCTCAATGAACGTTTGACTACTCGGCAGTCACGGTTGTTCCTTGTGGATTTCTGTGATGTGTTTGAAAGCGGGTGTCTGGAGTATCACAGCCCTCGTTTTCTGGGTGCCGTGGTTTGGAGGGGCAGCCTGGGGAGGCGGGGTGGGGGGGGCCCGTCAGAAGCAGAAGCTCTGAGCTGCTTGGGGCCGATTGTTTCCTGTGGCAGCACCTCCTGGCCTGATACATCCGGCCTCCAGGACATTCCGCCGCCGGGAAGAGACCAGCTGCCCTTCATCCCCACACGGCACCCCAGAGCCCCAGCCTGAGCCAGGAATTTCCGTTCTGTAGTTGGGAAACATGTCCTGCCGGAGGCTTCTTGGCATAAGACAGAAAGGGTGGGAGAAGAAAGGGGAGCTCTCTCGAGAGGCAGGAAGGCCCTGTCAGAGCTTAGGCTGCTGTCGGCTTTTTCCAGGTGCCCTCTTATCTCTCAGTTAGGGGGGCTGGAGAGTTAGGCCCCCTTAGGTTGGGGACCGAGGCCTCGAGCCGGGAAGTGGCTTGCCCCGGGTCACCTGGCTTTGAGTGACAAAGAGGCCCAGATCTTGACTTCCCAGCACCCCCTGCCATGCTCCCTCCTCGGCCCTCAGGTCTGCCTGCTTCTGGCAGGTTCCTCCTGGCCCCTCGTCTTTCCGCACATTTTGCCTCGAACTGACTGACACACGCCCTGGGTCTATGGTTCATTCATTTACTTGTGCAGATCTTCTTGTTCGGGACCGTGTCACGTCGTGATTAGCAACCCAGGCTCTGAAATCAGGCTTGCCCACCTGGAATCTGAGCCGTCCTCACTCTGTGCCTCAGTTTCCTCATCTGTAAGACGTGGATGGTGCTCACTTCACAGAATTGTGAGAGTGAATGAGATGCTCTGTGCAGTGTTTGGCATGACAGCTGTCACGCATCAGGTGCTCAGTGCACACTTGTTGAATTTGTTTTGAACCCGCCCCCCGCCCCCCCGCCCCGCACAGTCACAGCCTTCTTACCGAGATCGTCGGCACCTTCCACAAGTTGGACATCGTGGTCAGCTCAGGCCTCAGTGCTTGTCTTGCTGGACCCAGGGCAGCAGCCACAGCCGACCCTCGTCCTTCTCACTGGCAGCCCTTGACCTCCAGGTCTCCATGCCTAGTCACGCCCTCTCCGTCCCCTTCGCCTGCTCCTCTTTGCTCCATCTGATTAGCGTGGGGGTGCGCCAGGGCCTTCGCTGTGTCCCCTCACCATGATGACCTCATCCGGTTTGTACCAGCTCCCACGTTTGTGCCCTCCTCGCCCCAGATGCTCACATCCAGCTGTGTACTCCCCTCCCGCCTTGGATGTCCATGAGCATCTCAGACCTAACATATCCGCAACGGAGCGCCCTCAGCTTCCCCCAGATTCGCTCCGCCGATGGCTTTCCAGTCTTGGTCCATGCAACCCCACCCTTCCAGGGGTCAGGCCTGTACTGTGCAAGCATCCTGATCCCTCTGTCCCTGGCATGCTCCATATCCATTCTGTCAGAACATGCCCAGATCCTGACTGCTTCTCACCCTGCCGTTGTAACCCCGCAGCCAAGCCGCTGTCGTCTCTTACTTGGATCGTTGCCTCTCATGGGGCTCCCTGCCCTCCTTCAGTCGACTTTCAGCACAGCGGCCAGAGGGAACCTTTAAAACATGCATCAGCTCCTGTCCCTCCTGGTCCAAAGCCCCTTAATGGCTCCATCTCACTCGCAGTAAAATCCAGAGTCTCTAGGACCTGCCAGGGCCTGCGAGATCTGCTCACCTCGACCCCTCCCACCTCCTCTCTCCCTGTTCGCCAGCCACCCCGACCTCCTCGCTGTTCTTCCAGCACCCCAGGCACACTCGTGCCCCAGGGCCTTTGCACTGACTCTCTATGCTGCCTGGAATATTTTTCCCCCAGTCACCTCCAGGGTGTCTCTTCTTCATGCCACTGCTCAGGGGTCAGCTTCTCAGGGAGGCCTCCCCCAACTGCCTCATGTAAAACTGTGCACCTGCCACACCCCTATATTACTCTTTCTCCTTTTCCTGCCCGGCGTTTAATTTTCTATGGCACATAGTGTGGTTGTGGATCACTTACCTGTTTAAGTTTGTTGTTGATCTCCCTTCTCGGCACGTCAGCTCCCTGAGGACAGCAGTCTTGTCTGTTTTTGTCACTCCCGAGCATCCAGAATAGTGCCTGGTATGCAGAGGGTCCTCAGTGAGTATTTGTTAAATACGTTCACGTAAGCGTTACGTAACCCTTTCTCCATGCCAGGTGCTGTTCTAAACATTTAGCAAAGGTTAACTAGTTTACTCCTCACAACAACCCTATGAAGTAGGTACTATTCAGATCTCCATCGAACAGTTGATGAAACTGAGGCACAGAGAGGTTAAGTAGCCTGCATGAGGCCCACAGCTCGTAAGTGACAGAGTTGGGACTTTGGTCCTGGTTGTCTGGTCCCAAAGCCTGCTGTCTTGACCGCTCTGGTGAACTGCCTCTCTGAATGAATGAAGGAGAGGAAGAAGGAGGAGAGAAAGAGAGAGATGGAAGAAGGAAGGTGAGCAGGGAGCGAGGGAGGGTTGAAGAGAAGAAGCTGACACCTGCAAACGTGAAAGCTTTCGTAGGCCTTTTCTAAGGCCTGTCTGGAGTGTAGCGCCCTCCCCGCCCCTCCCCTCCATGGCTGATGGTTTCTAAGCACATGGAAACAGGCTCGGGTTCTTGGAAGAGATGTCTGCAGACGGCAGGAGAGGTCCTGGCCGGAGGGCAGTGCTGGTTGGCGAGTTGTGCGGCATCTTGAGGCTTCCCACAGTGACAGCCCCAAACAGCTTCTCCTCTTCCTGAGGGAGCAGCCGGCTGAGTTCCCCCCTGACCTGGGCCTTCCGCGGGGGTGCCTGAGAACCTTTCCGGGGCCCCGTGTGCCCAGACCAGCCCATCCCCGTACGGGCAGACAGCGTGCTGGGCCGTGGGGAAGGCGCCCGCCCTCCCGTGCAGGCTTTGTCTCTCTGACGGGCCTGGCACTTTGCGGCTGGGGAGATGTCTTTCTGTACAGATCCCTGGAGGTAACGGGGCTGACGCAGTGGGGGAAGTGGCTGTGCCTCATGTCCCAGAGCAGTTTACAAGATGGTGTTCCAGGCCTGATCAGCCACAGGAGGGCCTGCCCTGTGTGCCTGCCCCGCTTGCCCAGGGATTCCAAGAGCCCTGCTCACTTGCCCCTCCATCAAAGGCTTTCTTCCCTGTGGATTGCCCCTCCACTGCCTGGGGACCCTGGGGTGCTCCAGGGAGGCAGTGGAGCAGATGGTTCAGCCTCAAGGAAGCGAGGCTCCTGGCCTGGCTGAAGAGCCACTGATTTGGTCGACACGTGGTGAGCCCTGACGAAAACCTGGTGTTGCCAGTAGCCTGTGCTTGTGGTATTTGTTCCTGCCACATCTGCTTCCGCCACTGAAGAGAAGTGTCCGGTGGCTCCTGGCTTAAGTTCACATGTGTGAGGTTGCACAGCGTGAAGCTCAGCAGCCTTTGGCATTTGTTTCTCACCCTCGGTTCCAGAAGCTGTGCTCTCTGGGGATGCGGGAGGGAATAGGGATAGCTGGGAGTGCAAGACTGGTGCCTTAAAGGCTTCTCTGATTGTGACTCTGCTGGTGGTGGTGGTGGTGGTGGTGGTGATGGTGGTGGTGGTGATGGTGGTGGTGGTGACGATGTGGTAGTGGTGGTGGTGATGTGGTGGTGGTGGTGGTGATGATGTGGTGATGGTGGTGGTGGTGACGATGTGGTAGTGGTGGTGGTGATGTGATGGTGGTGGTGGTGGTGATGTGGTGGTGGTGGTGGTGATGTGGTGATGGTGGTGGTGATGATGGTGTTCGTGATGCTGCTGCTGGTGGCAGTGATGATAGTGGTGACGATGGTGGTGATGGAGGGGATGCAGTATTGATGATGATGTCGGTGATAGCTACCATGGTTTGAGCACTTACTATAATGCTCAGCACAACCATACTATTATTCCCAGTATGCAGATGAGCAAACTGAGGCTCAGAGAGGTTGAGGGACTTGCCCGAGTTGGTGGTGGAAGCGGGATTTTATCCCAGGTAGACTGGCCCTAGAGTCTTGAGCCAGTACTCTTAACTGCTATACTCTCTTGCCTCCCACGATTAGTAAACCCTAATTAAGGGTCCCACTCAAGACTTTGGAGCCACACAGCAGCCAGAGTTACACCTTTAAAGCGTAACTGTTAATATCACTGCTCTGCTGCAGCCCTCCGGTGGCTTCTGGGAGTAAAGTCTCAGCTTCTCACCAAGGCCCAGGGCCCTGCGTGTACCACTCCGTCCTTCCTCCAGCAGCTCCGCCCCTCTCCTCTGCCACAAGTTCCACCACCCTGGCTTTCTAGCCGTTAACAGATGAAAGTGATTTGTAGTGGACCTGTCAGTTGCGAATGTGATTTCAAGGTGCTAGAAAATTTATTCTCTTTAGTCATTTGCATTCTTCCCTGCAATCTTGTTGACACTGTTCCTCTGCTAAGTTTTCTGACAGTAAAAACAATGAATTTCATCAGAGCCTTGCTGTAAATTTCAATAAGCACGTTCCAACTTAATGACACCCCTTCCTCAGCGTTCCTTCTGCGCGGCCCTGGGTGAGTGTGGCGTCCTGAGGTGTCCACCACCCCTGTGCACACCCTGTGCTGGGGATCAGACGCCAGAGGACAGACTTCCTGCAGGGCGATGCCCATGCTGATTTGACATCCGCTGAGGCCTTAACAGCTTTGGTGTTTTGCAAGCTGCATGAAGGAGCCTTCGCTTTGAAAGATGTGACATTTCTGGGCTGGCCCGGTGGTGCAGCGGTTAAGTGCACACATTCTGCTTCGGCGCCCCGGGGTTCACCAGTTGGGATCCCGGGTGTGGACACGGCACTGCTTGGCAAGCCATGCTGTGGTAGGCGTCCCACATATAAAGTAGAAGAAGATGGGCACGGATGTTAGCTCAGGGCTAGTCTTCCTCAGCAAAAAGAGGAGGATTGGCAGTAGATGTTAGCTCAGGGCTGATCTTCCCCCCCCAAAAAAGATGCGACATTTCTGTAAACACCTGGGAATAGAACACAGACCACTCCGCCTCGAGATTGTGCAAACCCACACGTCCACCCAAAGACGGAGACGAGCTTGTTCGTAGCAGCTTTATTTATAGTTGCCAAAAACAAGAAACAGCACATATGTCCGTCAGCAGCTGAGTGAAGAAACAAACTGTGACAGATTCACACAGTAGAATCCTGCACGGGAATAAGAAAGGAACTATTGTCTCATACACACGACAGCTCAGATGCGTCTCACAGTTCCAGCCATAGTCCCATGGTTGTGTGAAAAAAACCCACCACCGAAGACTACGTCCTGTATGGTTCTGTTCGTGTGAAGGTAAAGAGCAGGCAAAACCAGTCTCTGGAGCTGGCAGCTATGAGGAGAGGGGTTGACTGCAAGGGCCACAAGGACCCTTCCAAGGGGAAGGAATGTTCCGTGTCTTGCGGGGGCAGTGGTTCCACTGGGTGTATATGTATGGAGAAGGTCACTGAGCTTAATGACTTGTGAACTTTACTGTGTGTAAGTAATCCCTCAATAAAGTATATATATCAACAGTATATTATTTTAAAACCATGTGTTAAAACCTTTTTAAAGGAAGATAGACAAATATGCAAACCTCCCCACATGTTGCTTCGGCTCCTGCTTTGGGCTAAGCACTTCCATGTGCATTAGCTCATTTCATCCTCATGACTTCCCTGTGAGTTTTGCATTGTTGCTGGCGAGGGGCCTGCAGCTCAGAGAAGGAAAGTGACATGCTCGGTGTCACACAGCCGGTGAGTGGCAGAGCCGGGATTTGCCCTCGTTCCATCACACACAGGACTTTCTGAGCGGCCTGGGGGGTCTCTCTACCAAGCTCACGTTCATATTTTGCTCAGGGATGCTGCTGGCCTTCTCTGCCTGGAGGATGGCCTCTCCCCGGCCGTTACCTGCCCCTCCTGCACCCCCCAGCCCAGAGTGGTTCTAATCCAGGTGTGTCTTGCCCCCTCAGCATCCCTTTGTCAGCAGTGTCACCAGTAACAAGGCTCTGCGGGAGCTGGTGGCTGAGGCCAAGGCCGAAGTGATGGAGGAGATCGAAGATGGCCGGGATGAGGGGGAAGAAGAGGACTCCGTGGACGCCGTCTCGGTAAGGCCCGGAGAGCAGGCGCTCGGCGGGGCGGGATGCCCGCGGCCGCGGCTGGTGTGGGAGGAGGCCTGGGAGGTGTAGGAGGATTCCTCTGTTTCTCCCCAGCTTAGAAGTGTAGGCTCCCACACTACAGGTTACGTAAGACGGCAGGCGGGCCAGGGCAAGGCAGCGGGGCCTGTTGGCCAGATCGGGTCCATTTTCAGGAGGGACCAGAGTCTCGGTTTTCACATGAGATCTTCCAGTTTTAGAAGTTGGTAGCTGACGCTCCTCCAAGCCGTTTTCCTGTTGTGGCTCACAGACAAAATGAGAATGTTTTGGCATACTGTGGGATAAATGCAGATAAAGGCTGCAGGTGATCAGAGGCGACAGGCGGAGGGGCTCCGGCCACCCCAGGCCCTGTCTGGCTGCCCTGGGTGAGCCCCATGTCTTGGCATGTTCGTAACCCGTCTGCAGCTTCAGCACTTGGCTGACTGAATTTAAATTAAAGCTAATTTAAAGTATTTTAAAACATTTGAGCCAAGCAGAACATGTGTGTGGGCCGGATTCTGTCCTGAGCTGCTGGTTTTGGATCCCTGGTCTAGCCATTTGTGGGGGTCTCTTCCAGAGGGGGAGACTTGCTGTCTGGAAGGTGCTGTGGACATGGTGAGGCGGGGGCTGGACTTGTCCGTTGGGGGTGGACAATACGGCGCTTTCTCAAGTTTCCGTCAGGCCTGGGAGGAGCCTGAGGCTGGGGTGATCCTCGCCAGGAGCGAGAAGGGACACCCTGAGGAGGACAAGGGGAATCAGCACAGTAACCACAGCTGTTAGTACTGAGTCTGCTGAGTGCTGGGTGCTCTGTGCCTCTGACGGAGGAGAACAAGGCTCCATTTTACAGATGGGAAAGCTGAGGTCCGGGCAGGGAGGTGGCTGGCTGAGCTGATAGGCGGCAGGGCCAAGTGTGGGCCTGGAGTAGGAGAACCCAGGTGGGAGAGGGCGGCCACGTGTCTGGGGCCTGGCTCCAGGAGGAGGCAGCAGCCAGCGAGGCTGGGGAGGGAGGCAGAAAGCAGTCCTGGGTCTGCACAGGCAGGAGGCTCGTCCTTGTCGTGAGAGCCGTGGGAGCCATTGAGGGTTTCAGGCAGGGGCTGGGTGTTGGTGAGGGGACGCCAGGATCGATCTGAATTTTTGAACCATCGTTCTGGGTGTTGAACAGAAGGTGAATTAGAGTTGCTCCTGGAAGCTTCTGTATCCAAGGTTGAAAACCAGCAGCCCTTAGTGCTTAGTGTGATTCCGTTAATACCAAGTTTAAAACCACGCAGACTAGCCATGACACCAGCGAGGGAAGGCAGGGCAGTGATCATGTCAAGGGGAGGGATGGGCACAGTGGGGTCCCGGGTGGCCCGGGGCTCCACTCCTGACTGGAAGGGGGCTCCGTGGGTGCTCACTTTATTCATTAAACTGAACATTTGTGTTTCACCCACAGAAGCGGGTGTGTGTTTCACCATAGTAACATTTTCAGTACTTCCCACCCCCTAACAGCTCTAAAAAACCAAACGAAACTTCAAAAACTTAGTGGCCAATAGGCCGAATCCAGCCCCTGGACAGATTTGGTTTGGCCTTTATGCAATTTTTTAAAAAAATTTGAATTAGTTGGCATCTAAAAATCAGGAAATGTCACATGAAAATCCACATTCCAGCTTGTCTTAAAAAAGTGGCAGATCTGTCCCCAAAGGACCCATTTTCCCACATTGTCACCATTGGCTAGAGCAGAGTAGCCACTGCCCCCTTTAAACAGAGCATGAGCTGTCCAGCTCGCCACAGTTGCCTCCACTCCCAGGAGGAATAACAGGTATTAAATGAAGCTAAGATTAAAGATAATCAGGAGATGCCGATTCCTCAAAACAAGTAGTAATGTTATTATAGGTTAGGCAGTAGGGAGTGGTGAGGACTGTGGCTTACCTACTCTTAGCTTCCTGCGCCTGGTCCACGTCACCTTGTGGGTGTCTGACCTTCCAGCCCCTCTGTCTCTCTGACTCTTGTCTTGGATGTACAGTAGCATGGCCTTGACTGTCTTTTTTTCCCTAGCCTCTGGGGAACCACTCTCGGGACTCTTCTGAGGTGAGTCAGCTGAGCCTCAATGCTGACAACCTTCTCAAAGAATCATCTCTCACCCCACTGCCACCCAGCCAGCCTCAGGACAGTGTGGATGGACCCAGCCAGCCCTCTGGGGACGGATCCCTCCAAACCACTAGCCCCCCGGAGGTGGCGCCTGGAAATGAGAATGGCCTAGCGGTGCCTGTGCTCCTCCGAAAGTCCCGACCAGTGTCAATGGATGCCAGGATTCAGGTGTCCGAGGAGAAGCAAGCCGTCGACCAGGGTGGGGACCGCAGTCTGGCAGCCATCAGGCCACAGAAAGCAAGCCAGAGCCGTCCCAACAGCAGTGCCCTGGAGACCTTGGTCGACAGTAAGCTGGCCAACGGCAGCCTGGAGCTGCCCGCCCAGCCAGGCCCGTCCAAGAGGGACTCGGACTGCGGCAGCCTGTCCACCTCTGAGAGCGTGGACTACAGCACCTCTCTCTCCGCTGACCTGTCCCTGAACAGGGAGTCCGGCTCTCTGTCCATCAAGGTAAGGCCACTTCTGGTGCCACAGGCCAGCAGCAGGGGCTGCAGGGTGCTCTGTGCCCACTTCTGGTTTTGAAAGCGTTTAGTGGCTGCCTCCCATTCTGAGTGGTCTTAGTTCGGAGCTCGTAGTTTGACTCAGTTTTATCTCCAAAATATCTGAGTTCAGTCTGGGATTTAGTCACTTCGGGTAGTTGGTTCAGGTTTAAATTTCAGTTTGGGTTTCCGTTTAAATTGGGTTTGGTCAAAGGTAGAATTTGGGAGAGAGAATTCTAGAAGTGGAAGTTCTCTTATTTGGGAGTCAGCCATGTGGTCCAGCTGTCGACTATGCATTCAGTTAAAGGGAGTGAGCTCTAGGCTCTCTCCTGGCTCGGTGACCTTCCTGGAGGGGGTGACATTGTCAATGACAGCAGCCACCGCGCTTGAGGGCTCAGCTTGAGGCCAGCTCTGCAAAATGCTTTAAAAAAAACAAACCAAGGAGGCTCCTTCGTGATCCCATTGGAGGCTTGGGTGGGCAGTGGAGAGCTGGTGGGCCCCAGACTCTGCGCTCTGAACCCATTGTGCTTCTGCCTGCCAGTGGGAGCTGTGGCTTCCTCCTCCTCGGCCGGCTGGGAGGGAGGGGCCGACCCTTCCCCTGCTCGCTGGATAAATCGCATGATGTTCTTGAACTCACCATTGGTGGCCTGACTAGGCCACACTGAGGGCCTTGTCCCCACCAAGGCTGTTTTAGGGAATCTAGTCTATCTTTTAGTTTTTTCCTTCCATCGTTTGCTCAGTGAGAAATACAGCAGAGTCTCACAAAGACTTGCTGAGTGAAGGGGAGTGGAAGGAGGAGAAGCAGCTGGCTGGTGCCATGACCCGCTTCGGGGACAGAAAGGGAGCGCGGTTCTAACCGGTCCCGGGACAGGTGGGGGCAGCAGCAGGGCCCATCATCTCCCTTAGGACAGACGTCCTGTCCCTTCCCTTCTTGAAAAGACAGTAAGAGGGAAAAAAGAAGGTAATTTTCTCTTTTTAAACAGAGGCCCACCCACCCCGAGCAGCGTCCCCCGCCTCTCCCCTGGGCTGTTAACATTCCTTTGCTGGCTGAAGGGCAGCGAGTCAAGGAACACGGCTGTTCTGATAGGAGTCCACTGCTGCGTCAGCGTGCTGACGTGACTGGGAGCCTGTTGGCTGGGGGACAGAAGGCCTGTGCCCAGGAGCAGTTCTAGTGCGGGGCTGCAGGGCCAGAGCAGACTCGGAGGGGGAGGCTCCTGCCGCGGCGCCCTGGCTCTCGCTCTGGGCTGGCAGGCCGGGCTGGGCCACAGCTGGAAGGCAGGCCTGGGAAGCCCTCGAGAGGTCAGAGGGGGACATGCTGATGGCCCCAGTGCAGGCCCTCAGGAGGTCGGGACGAGAGCTTTCTGAGTATATGTGGATGCCTCTGAGAGCCCTGGCAGTACTCTGAGCTGTGTGATTCTTCACAGGAAAAGATAAAGATTACGCTCATCTCATGGTGGCCTCCTGTGGGGTTCAGGTCAGATCAGGTTTGGGGGCCAAATAGGTTACGAACTTCAGTTTTCCGGGCTCGCTGGATTTTGGCATCGTGGATAAGAGGTTGTGGTCTGTAATAGTAAGAAATAAATACCAAGTATTGAACACTTGCCATGAGCCGGGGGCTGTGCCGTGAGCCCCCCCCCCCCGCAACACATTCTCTCATTAAATCTTCGTAACCTCCCTAGGGGAACAAGTACTGTTGTTCTCCTCTGACAAGATGAGGAAGCTGAGGCTCGAACAGGACAAGGGACTTGCTCGGGGTCACAGAACCAGTAGGTGGTAGAGGGAGGATTCGAACCCAGCTCTTTCCGATGCCCCAGACTGTGTGTGCGAGAGGGTTGGCAGCTAGGCAGGGGAGGGCATCAGTGTCTGAAGGCCAAGATCAGGGAGAGGAGAGGGGATGAGCTCAGACACTCAGGCCCCCAGGTTGAGAAGCTTGACACAAGAAAGGGATCATGGACAGCCGCCTCCTGCCTGGACGAGGCTGAGGCTGTGGGACTGGAGGGCTGTGGGCCACACGCCCTGTGTCACCCAAGGATTCTAAGCTAAAATGCTGAGCTTTGCCTCATTATTTTCCCCTGCCAGGACTCAAGGCTGCACAATAAAACCCTTAAGAGGACACGAAAGTTTGTGGTGGATGGCGTGGAGGTGAGCATCACCACCTCCAAGATCATCAGTGAAGACGAGAAGAAGGACGAGGAGATGAGATTTCTCAGGCAAGCCTGGAAAGGGCCGCTGGTGGCAGTAACAGGGTTGGGGTCTGGTGAGAGGAATGCACTTATGACCTTTTGGTGAGAGAGCTATCTGTCTACAGCATGAAGTGGTGGATCAAGGAGGCAAAAGGAAACTGGTTTTGCTTGAGATCCTGCACTTCCCCTTCCACGCATGCATCCACCCATGCATCCATCCATGCATCTGTCCATCCATCCACCTATCCATCCATCAAACCTTTCATCCATCCATGCATCCGCCCATCCATCGGCCTGTCCATCCATCCATCCATCCACCCATACCTCCATGCATCCACCCATGTATCCACCCATGCATCCACCCATCCCTCCATCCTTGCGTCTGCCCATCCATCTTCCTATCCATCTATCCATCCATCCACCCTTCCATCCATCCACCCACCCACCCACACATCCATTCATCCATCCATCCCTCCATCCACCCATCCCTCCATTCATCTAGCTACCCAGCTACCCATGTATCTACCCACCCACGAGGTTGGAGGGCATGGTGGTGACCCAGATGGTTGAGGCCATTGCCTTTGTAGAATGTATACTTAATGGGCCAACACACAATACACAAGATAATTCCCAGCTGTGGTATACACTGTGAAGGAAGTAATGGCTGATATGATAGCGAGTGCTGGGCCGGAGCGGGACACTGCTTGGTGGGAAACCTCGGAGTGGAGCCTGCAGGGTGAGAGGAGCCAGCCGTAAGAGAGCTGGGGGAGCACAGAGGGCACTGCAAGGCTGGGGCCTGAGGAGTGACCACTTGGCTTGTTTAGGGAACTGAGAGCACTGGGCTGGAGCGCGGAGCGTGAGGGCAGGGCGAGAGAATGGGGTACAGTCCACAGGGGTCCACAGGGCCCAGGTCACATAGGCCTGTGGGCTGGAGTGGAGGAGTGGATTTTATCCCAGGCACAGCGGAAGGGGACACCTGGAGAGTGACCGCTCTAATATCTCTTTTGAAAGATGGCTCTGGCTGCTGGACGAGTCTTGGCTGGAAAGGCGCAAGACCAACACAGGGAGACAGGGAGGCCCCGTCCAGGACAGGGCTGGACAGAGGAAAGAAGTTGTAAGGTTCAACATGCATTTTGGAGGCAAAACCCGTGAAACCAGGAGGGATTGGAGTAGAGAGGAGGGTGCGATTCTAAGCTACTTGCTAGAACCATCTTTGCACTGTTAAGATGCCCAGGCCCCCTACCAGCCTCCTTAGGGAGGGGACCCTATTGCTGCCACTTTGTAAATGAGGAGCCGGTGTTTCTTGGCAGGTCAGTTACTGCCCCAGGTCACCCAGGCGAGCAGGGTGGAGCTGAGGTTCTAACCAGGTCTGTCAGCGTGAGGATTCTCCCAGGGGGCTGTGGGCGTGGGGTGGGGGCTCAGCAGTCAGGGAGGCCTTGGAGCCACGGAGCTCCCTTGGGGCCAGGCCTTTGCAGGCCAAATTCATTATTGGTTGGAGAACATTTCTAGAACATCAAACACGTTCATATTTTTTTAGAAGCACAAATATTCCAAAGCCAAATAGAAGCAGTTTGGGATGCTCTGGGGCACTTCTCCCCGCTAGGAGCCAGGGGGACGAGAGGCAGACTTTCATGGTGGTGTTTCTGCGTTCGGGCATATGTGTACACACACTCGCACACTGCTCCTCATCTGTGTGGGTTGGGGCGGCTCGGGGTGGGGGATGGTCGCTCTCGGTGGATGACACCACCTTCTGTTCTAATGGTCACCTGGAAGGTGATCTGTACTCTTCAAGCCTCAGACCTCAAGGGCTGGGGTTCCTTTCCGTCGTCCCGCCTCTGGGCAGTTCAGGTTCCTGGGGTTGAATTCCATGTCCACCACACTCCATCTAGAGGCAACGCCCTCTGGCCCTGGCGCTGGGGCCCCGCCCTCCTCCTGCGCAGAGGCACTGATTCTGCTCAGGTTTGAAAGGTGAGACTCAGCTGAGGTGGAGGAGAGGTGCGCTCCAAGAATGAGGCTTTGCTTGGTTGCCCACTGTGGTCGAGGTCCGAGTGTCCTGCAACCCCGGCCCGGCTGCAGGGGTGTGGAAGGCTCTGGTCATTCCCCTGCTGGCCCAGCCCTGGTCAGAGCTGGATCAGAGCATTTCTGGAGGATCAGGTCACATGCAGGCTTTTGAGTCATGTGACAGAATAGTCGCTCTCCCAGATTGAGGCTGCCAGGTCCGAGTTCTCTCTGGTTTCTCTAAAGTCGCTGGTGCCGGTTCTTTCCTTCTAGAGACGTCCGCCTGTCTCTGCCTGCCTTCCCCGTGAGAACTCGGGGTCAGGGAGGCTGGGACCTGGCAGCTCACCTTCTTTCTGTCTCCCTCTGTTTGTTATTTTGTCGCTTGTTCTCTAAGCCTCAATTTCTCTTGGGCGAGGAGTTCCATTTCTTTGTAAACACTCTAGAAAATCGCCTCTTCCCTTCTCACTTCCCAAAGAGCAGAGGCTCGTACGGAAGCTGCTCTCCGTGGCTGTGGAAGGCGTCTCTGGCATTTCCCAGAACCTGGGCAGCCTTTGCCTCTTCCTGCTCGCTATCGTTTGAGCAGCTACCACTTAGGGAGCGTTTGCCCCGTGCCAGGCAGGCTCTGCGGGTTCCATCTCCTTTAACCCTCAGAGAGCCTGAGGCAGAGAGATTATCTGCCCCATTTTACAGGTGCGGGAGCAGAGGCCTGTGAAGACTGGGGGCGCCCAGCTGGAAACCGGCAGGGCTGAGATTCAAACAAGGTCCCTCTCTCCCCAGGGAGCGTGCGGCCTCTCCTCCTGCAGCTGTTGGCAGGCACTTGGAGGCTGGACTAGAATAGGACAGAGGCCTCTTGGACCCCAATCCCGAGGGGCTGCCAGGGAGCCGCTGATTTACAGTCAGGGGCCCAAGTTCTTTCTGCATCATTTATGATACTTATCAATTTTTAATAGAGTCACTTGAGGGTTTATCCCACCAATATTTTTGCTGTGAGTCTATACAGACCCATATTGCCAATGTATATGTTATAGAATTAAGGTACATTATGTGGTTTAGGGCAAGTTTTTATGATGTTTATATTTGAAATAGGTGATACAATGTCATGGTTCAAAATTCAAAACAAAAAGAAGGGGGTAAACAGTGAAAAACCTCCCCCCCTCCCTCTCCTGCCAGGTGTCCAGTTCTCCTCCCTGTGTTAATGTTTTCTGGTGTGATGCTTCCAGAACTAGGAGAGTGAACACACGCACACACACGTGGACACACACATATCGTCTTTTTTTTCACCCAGATGGTAGGTAGCATAACAGACCCACATGTCGACATCCTGCTGTTTTCAGTTAGACATCATTCCATATCTCTCCGTAAAGAATGGTTACATTTTTAATAGATATTTTTCCATGTAGTTAAATATTTTCTAAAACTTATTTTAATGGTTATATAAAGTTACATCAGATTGGATATATCAATTTATTTAATTAGACCTGTATTGATGGACGTTTAAGTCCTTTCCAATTTTGTACTATTATGAGTAACATTGTTACAACTATCCTTATTTGGTTGTGTTGTGTATCTATGAATATTTCTTTAGAATCCATATCTCGAAGTGGAGCTCCTATGTCAGAAGGCATAAACTTATTGCCAAGTTGTCCTCCAGAAATGTACCAATTTAGACCTGTCAGCAGATTGTGAAAGTATGAATTTCCCGTATACTCTTGCCTATTTAGTTAATGAAAATAGTATGTCTTTTTAATTTGCATTTCATTTCCAAATAGCTGATTTCTTTTTATCTTTTGTTTCATGTTTGTTCATGTTCTGTATCACTTTTTAAAATTAGGATAGTCCTGTTTTTCTTATTGATTTGTAAGTACTCTTTGTATATTAAAATTACTGTTTGTCAGTAAATGTCAAATGAAGCCTGAGTTCTGCTCGTGCCTCTGCCCCAGACCCGTGTGATGGTGCTCCACGATCCAGCCTTCAGTGTCCCTAGCTAGGAGTTTTGTGATCCCTGATGCCGCTTTCTGACTGAAATGTCCATATCTGTTAACCCTTCAGGCGCCAGGAACTCCGAGAGCTTCGGTTGCTCCAGAAAGAAGAGCATCGGAACCAGACCCAGCTGAGCAGCAAGCATGAGCTGCAGCTGGAGCAGATGCACAAACGTTTTGAACAAGAAATCAACGTGAGTGTCAGAAAAGATGGGTCCTGCAGGGCTCCTTGCCTCCTTGTCTTCTTAAAGCAGAAGCTGCAGACAGGGGATGATTGGGAGTGGAGAGTAATTCACAGAGGCCCAGTGCCTGTGGTTTCCCGACTCATTAGGCATTGACTTGTAAAGACAGAATCAACATGAAGGTCACAGTGCTCCTCCGTGTCACACGGGAGGATCTCTAGAGGGAAGTTCACCTCTGTTGAGCACCATGCAAGCACCTTGCAAGATAGATGGTCTCGTCTCCCCTTTGCACATGAGGAACCAGAGACTCAGAGAGGTTAAGTGACTTGTCCCAGGTCACACTGCAGAGGTGGTGGAGCTGGGATTCAAGCCCAGGTCTGAGGACAAGCTCTGGGCTCTCCCCCTCCTGCTTTCTACCTCCCTCCAAAATATAAAGTAACTGCTGAATTTCCCTTTCTGCTCCTTCCAGGCCAAGAAGAAGTTCTTTGACGTGGAGCTAGAGAACCTGGAGCGTCAGCAAAAGCAGCAAGTGGAGAAGATGGAGCAAGACCATGCCGTGCGCCGCCGGGACGAGGCCAAGCGGATCCGCCTGGAGCAGGAGCGGGACTACGCCAGGTTTCAGGAGCAGCTCAAACTGATGAAGAAGGAGGTGCGTATGTGGGGGGCAGAGGCAGGGCGTCCAAGAGTGCTAGGATCCTCTCAGTTGCAAGTGATGGAAACCCCAGCTCCGCCTCACCTCAACAACAGAGGGAACTCTGGGGAGCTCGTGCCCCTGAGAAGGTCACGTCCAGGGATGTCTGCATCTTTGTGCTCCAGCTGTGCCATTAGAGCTCAACTTCTCCATCGTTTGGGCTCTGCTTTCCTCTGTGTTGACCTGGCTCCAGGCAGGCCCTCGCCATGTGGTCCCCGGCGGCTTCCTATCCTCCCTGCTTAGCGACCTCAGGTGAAAGAGAGCAGGAGAGAGGAGGGGTGACGGCCCAGGGGAATTTGAGATGCTGTCACCGGAAGCGGGCGTGAGTGCTGGGTGGGCAAACACACGTGTCCTCTATGCCCTGTCCTCTCTTCTCCCAGAATAGCAGTCCCCCGGTTTGGACTCACGAGCTGCTTCTTCTTTCCCCACCCACCTGGAAGGGGAAGGGGGAGGTGGCAAAGAGGCAGATGGTCCTGAGACAAGGGCAGGAGGCGTATCTTGCAGCCTGCCATGGGCAAGGGCATCTGGGTCCCAAAGAGCAGCCCATGCCTCCCTCTGTGGAGCCCAACACCTGGGGGCTGGGCATGCTTTCTCTCCTAGACTCTCAGGAGGAGGGAGGGAGCAGCAGGTGGAAGCCCCGAGGGCAGGTGTACCAGTCCAGGCCCTTGTCATCTCCAGATGGGAGCGGTGGGTGGACAGCCTCTAAGTGGTCCACGGGGCTGGGGGCCTCGGAACCCAGCTGCCTGACTTTATCATGCTTGGCATGACATTTGGTGTACCCACTGGGCCTCAGGCACTGCCTGTGGGAGCAGGGCCGGGCTGGGTGAGACAAGTGAGGCACTCACCTCGGGCACAAAATTTAAGGGGGCCGGAAAACTCAGTAACGAAGATAGATGGTATTTTAATGAAATGTTTAAAGTAAAAATGAGGGGCCGGCCCTGTGGCTGAGTGATTAAGTTCACATGCTCCGCTCAGCGGGCCAGGGTTTTGCTGGTTCGGATCCTGGGCGTGGACATGGCACCGCTCATCAGGCCATGCTGACGTGGTGTCCCACATAGCACAGCCAGAGGCACTCACAGCTAGAATAAACATCTATGTGTTGGGGGGCTTTGGGAAGAAGAAGGAAAAAGTAAATAAAATAAAAATTAGTGCAAAATATTCATGATGAACAGAGTATCAGTTATTTAAAATAAAGAAAGGACCTGACAGGGCTGGGGCCAGGGTGCGGCGGTGAGGCTGAGCCTTGCTGCTGTATGGCTGGATCCTGTCTGTATCTAAAATTTTAGTATTTTGTTCATGACTCTTTTTTGCCTGAATTTTGGTTTTTTACAATGTTCATCTTGACTGCTGAGTGTTTTGGTGTTGCCTTTTGTGCCTGAGGCGAGAGTCTCACCTGCCTTCCCTGGGTCCTGGCCCTCCTGCTGAGAGAGGGCTAGGGGGGCTGGAGCAGAGGCCGGGAGCGATGCTGAGCACACCCCCAGCTCTAGTGCAGCAGGCACAGGCTTGGGAGGTGGCCTGGCTCTGAGTCCTGGCTCGTGGCTCAGAGCCACCCGTTGGACTTTGCACTAGCTGCTTCCCTGAGCCCTAGGGCCTTCTGTCAAAGTGGGAGTTATTCAGCTACTGTTTTATTGAGTATCTACATGTGTGGTCCTGTGCTAGGTGCCGAGGATACTGTACTGAACAAAATAGACAGGGTCCCTACCCTCCAGGAGCTGTTAATTGCCAGAGAAGCCAGAAAAAAAACCCAGTACACCATCAAATAGATAAAATACTTACCAACTGCATACATCTGTGAAGGCACATAGGCTAGTTAACAAGAGAAGATATGGAGAGGTCTGCTTTAGAGTGGTCTGGGAAGGTGTCTCAGCATATGACAGTTAGGCTGAGACCACAAGGATGCTGCCAGGCATAAGAACATTCCAGGGTAGTGGAGTAGCATGTGCAAAGGCCCTGAGGTGTGGGAAAGAGCTTGGAGTGTTCGAAGAGCTGAAAAATGATCAATGTGGTGGGGACTCAGGAAGTGTAGGGAAGATTAGCATGAGATGAAATTGGACAGGTAGACAGGGGTCAGATCATGGAGGGTGGTAGGCCATAGGCAGGAGTTTGCTGTTTTGTTAATTAGTTAACCACATATTCCTCACACAGCTATTTTGAGCATTAAGTGAGAACTGCATTAAGCGTTAGAGCCAGTGTCCATGCAGAATAAGTACTTGACCTTTTCAAAGAACAAGCTTTTAGTTTCATTGATTTTCTATTTTCAGTGTTACTGGTTTCTGCTTTTGTATTTGGTTTGGGTTTAAATTGCTCTTCTTTTTATAGTTTCTTAATGTGGAAGCTTAGATCATTGACTTGAGACTATTTTTCTTTTCTAACATAAGCATCTAATGCTGTGAATTTTCCTCTAAGCTCTGCTGTAGCTTCATCCTACAAATTTTGATAGATTGTATTTTAATTTTTATTCAGTTCAAATTAGTTTCTAATTTCCTTTGCAACTTGCTCTTTGACCGATGGGTTATTTAGAAGTTTATTTAATGTTAAAATGTGTTTGGACTTTCATATCTTTCTGTTACTGATTTCTAGTTTAATCTCATTGTGTTTAAATAACATATATATTTTTTAAGATTTCAATTTTTAAATTGATCAAGGTTTGTTTTATGCCCCAGGATGTGGTCTGTATTACTGAATGTTCCTTGTGCGCTTGAAAACGATGTATGTTCTGTTGCTGTTGGCTAGAGTGTTCTATAAATGTCAAGTAGCTCAAGTTGATTGATAGTGTTTTCATGTCTGTTACAGCCTTACTAATTTTCTGTCCATTTCTTCTATTGGCTACTGAGAAAGGAGTATTAATATTTTTGACTATAACTGGGGATTTATTTAATTTTCTTTTCAGTTCTGTCATGTTTTGTTTCATGTTTTTGAATTCTTTTGCTTTTTAAAATCGTCATATCTTCTTAGTGAACTGGCCCTTCCTTTTATCATTATGTAATGTCTTTCTTTACTCCTGATAATATTTTATGTTCTGAAGTCTTCCTTGATATTAATATAGCCAATCCTGCTTTCTTTTTGATTAATGTTTGCATAGAATATCTTTTCCCATCCTTTTAATTCAACCTGCCTATATCTTTATATTTAACCTGGGTTTCTTGTAGACAGCACGTACAGTCGTGCATCGCTTAATGATGAGGATATGTTCTGAGAAATACATTGCTAGGTGATTTCCTTGTTGTGCGAACATCATAGAGTGTACTTATACAAACCTAGATGCTATAGCCTGTTATACACCTAGGCTCTATGGTACTGATCTTATGGGACCACTGTCATATATGTGGTCTCTTCTTGGCCAAAATGTCATCATATGGCATATGACTGTAGTTGGGCTTTGATGTTTTAAAATCTAATCTGAAAATCCTTGTCTTTTTTTTTGTTTTTTTTTTGTTTATTTGTTTGTTTTTGATTGGCACCTGAGCTAACAACTGTTGCCAATCTTCTTAAATCCTTGTCTTTTACTAAAGGTGTTTATGCCATTTACGTTTAATGAAATTATTACTTGTTTTCTGTTTGTCCTCTCTGACTTTTGTTCCTCTGTTCTCCCTTTTCCTGCTTCTTGTTGGAATATTCGAATATTTTTAGAATTACATTTTAATTCATCAGGTAGCTTAAGTATCTCTGTGTGTGTGTGTGTGTGTGTGTGTGTGTGTGTGTTCAGTGGTTGCTCTATGGCATTATAATATACTTACCTAACTCCTTCAGCATCTATGTAGAGATATATTGTAACATTTCAAGTAAAATGGAGAAGGCTCACAACCATATACATTTCTTAATACTCCCCCGTTTTTGTTGTACTTGTCATATGTATTATATCTATGTATATTAAAAATCTCATTAGACAATGTTATAACTTCTTTTGACAATGTTATAACTTTTGCTTTAAACAATCGTCCCTATCTTAAAGATCTTAGGAGGAAAAATTACTTATATTTCCCCACATATTTACCATTTCTGTTGCCTTTCTTCATTCAAGGGTCCCCCTTGGATTATTTCTCTTCAGCCTGAAGAACTTCTGTTTAGCTTTTTTTGCCGACAACAAATTCTTTTATTTTTCCTTCATCTGAGAATATCTTTATTTTGCTTTCATTCCTGAAAAATAATTTCACTGGACATAGAATTCTGGGTTGACCATTCTTTTCTTTGAGCAGTTTAAGGATGTTGTCCCACTGGCTTTTGGCCTCTGTGGTTCTGTTGAGAAATCCATGGTCGTTGAAATTGCTCTCCTCCATTAATGTGTTATTTTTCTCTAGCTGCTTTCAAGAACTTTAAATCTTTGATTTTCAAGAGTTTCATTTTGCTGTGTAGAAGTGTAGTTTTCTTTGAATTTAATCTGTTTGGGTTTCATCAAGCTTCTTGATTGTGTACCTTTGTGTCTTTCACCAATTTGGGAAGTTTTTGGCCATTATTGGTGTGTATTTTCTATACCAGGCTCTTTCTCCTCTCCTTCTGGCACTACCAAAGATGTGAATATTAGACCTTTTGATATTTTCCTGTAAGTCCCTGAAACTTTCTCCTTTTTAATCCTTTTCTCTCTGTTGTTCAGATTGTATAATTTTTATTAGTCTTCATTTTCACTGACCTCTCTGTTGTCCATTCTGCTATCACTGCATCCAGTGCTTTTTGTTTTTAATTTTAGACGTTGTATTATTTAGTTCTAAATTTTCTGATTGGTTCTTTAATAGTTTGTATTTCTCTGCAGTAAAATTCTGTCTTTCCATTGATTTCAATTATGTTTCCCTTTAGCCAGCCCTGGTGTCTAGTGGTTAAGCTTTGGCACTCTCAGTACTGTGGCTTGGGTTTTTTTCCCGGTGAGGGAACCACACCACCCGTGTGTCAGTTGCCATACTGTGGCAGCTGTGTGTTGCTGTGATGCTGAGAGCTGTGTCACTGCTATTTCAAATACCAGCAGAGTCACCCGTGCTGGACAGGCTTTAATGGAGCTCCAGACTAAGGCAGACTAAGAAGGAGCTGGAACCCACTTCCAAAAGAATTGACCATGAAAATCCTATGAAAAGCAGTGGAGCATTGTCTGATAGAGTGCTGGAAGGTGAGAGGATGGCGTGAAGAGACCCGGCAGGGTTCCACTCTGCTGTGCACAGGGTCGCTAGGAGTCGGAATTGACCCCACGGCGCAAACAACAAATGTTTACCTTTACCTCATGGAGTGTGGTCATAATAGCTGCTGTGAAGTTTTTGTGTGATAATTCCAGTGTCTGTGTCATCTCAGAACTGGCATCTGTAGATTGTCTTTTCCTTTGAGAATTGGTCATGTTTCCTGATTCTTTGTATGTGGCATAATTTTGGATCGTGTCGTTGACATTTTGAATGTTCTATTCTGTACGCTCCGGGTCCTGCTATAATCTTTTGGAGATTGACTTTCTGCTTTAGCAGGCAGGGCACTGTTAGGTTCGGACCACCAGTGCCATCCCATCTCCTGTGGGCGGAGGTCCCGGTCTTAGTCTAGTTTTCACAGCCTTCTCTCTCTTCTGCTTTTTCTTGCTCATGCTCAACTTAGGGAGGAGCCTGAGACTTGTGTGGGTTCATATGCAGAATTAGGGATTTCCCTTTTCTGCTGTCTTCTCTCCAGGGTTCTTCCCACACTCTCTGACCTGCACAGGCTCCTTTTCCTGGTTCTCTGGACAGAAACATGAGTCTTTTTACAGAGTTTTAGCCACCTTCCCCACTGCACTGCCGTGCAGCTCTGAACTGGTGCAAAGCCAGGAGAGCAGAAGGAAAAAAATAGGAACCTCACCCCTGTTCCAGCCCCTTCTAGAAGTTTTGACTCCCTTTCATAGTGACCTGCTTTTCTTTACTTTTCAGAGTCCTCAGGTAGTTGCTTTTTGATTTTGTCTAGGGTTTTTCATTGTAATCAGCAAGAGGAGAGGCCGTTTGGTTTGCCTCACCATGCCAAAGTAGAACTCCCCTAGAAAGTTCTTTTATGATCCTGGACGGTATTTTTCCCTCACCAGCTGCTCCTGAGCCCTGTGCCATTGAGCGCCTGTTTGGGGGTGTTGGGCCCCTGTGCGGGTGAAGCTTCCTCAGAACGGTCTGAGGAACTTGGAATTCCTTAGAAAGAAGCGCCGTGAATCCCTTCTCTCCTGTTACAAATGACAGAAACCCAGCTCCAGCTGGCCCGAGGGTGCTTCCTGCCACTGACCAGGAGGCAGGAGTGTCCCCAGGAATCCTTCTTTCTCGTGTCTTGGCGTTGCCTCCCTGCAGTGGTTCTGCCTTATATCCCTCCAGGGTGGCCCGCGGTGGCCTGCATCCTCCCAGCTTAGCCACCCCAGAGGACAGAGAGCGGCTCTCAGCAAGTTCCAGAAAACACCCCAGAGCTCTCACTGGCCCGGCAAGGATCATGTGCTCATCTCTGAAGCAGTCGCTGAAGTCAGGGCACGGAATATGCGGGATGGCAGCCTGGATCAGTGCCCAGCTTAGCGCCACATGGAGGGGGTGGCTGGGGGTCAGCCCCACCTGAATGGCAGGGACTGAGGAGGCGGCACCTTACGCACGCAGTCTCAGCTGGGTGATAGCGCCCCCTAGGGGTTAAGAAATCTTAGATATTATAATGGTTTAACAGGTTGAGAGTATAGCTGTGGGTTAATATTTCATACGGGTGGGTGATTAGGAAAAAAGATCTAAAAGGACTTATGAGGAGACAATAATGAAGAAAAGGTTGAGAAACTGCCCTAAAGGAAACTGAGATGCTGTGTCATCAGAAGCTGGGGGGTGGATACCAAGCAGCAAAGATGGCAGCTGTCTGCTCTGGGCGCTGGACAATGGAGCCAGCAGCAGCCGGGCTAGGCCAGCAGGGGCCTCGTGTCAGAGAGGCCTGGTGGAGAGCAGGTGGGGCCTGGTGGCTGGGAAGCTGAGCCTCGTCTTCGGTCTCGCTGGCCCAGGAGTTCTGGGGTTGAGGACTTCTTTTTGAGGCAGTGTGAGGAGGTATCCTGACCCAGCCCCTCTCTGCTCTCTGGTGCAGGTGAAGAATGAGGTGGAGAAGCTCCCCAGACAGCAGCGGAAGGAGAGCATGAAGCAGAAGATGGAGGAGCACGCGCAGAAGAAGCAGCTTCTCGTGAGTCCTTGCCGCTAGTCAGGAAGTAGAGGGGCTGGCGAGTCCCAGGTGTGAGACCCTGAATGGTGACCCGGCCTCCTCTCTGTCTTTGCTCATGTCCTGCCCCTGGAATACCCATCTCTTATTCTGGATGCCTAAACACAGCCTATCCTTGTTACCATCCCTGTTGTCACCTCCCCCATGCAGCCTTCCTTGCCTGCCCTCACTCCAGCTGGCAGTGAGCTCTCCTGTCTCTGGATACCCCAGCCCTTTACATCCACCTCTCCCAAAGCCTTTAGTGCCTCCTAAAGGCTTTGTTTGTACGTCGCATCTCCGTGACCAACCCAGTACATCCACCCGCCCACTGGTGTCTTTGGCGTCTCAAAAACATCAAACCCATGATCTCTCAGGCCTGGACCTGTTCTCCTGTTCGCAGGGGCACCATCCTCCATCGTGGTGTCAGACCAGGAACATTGTCATTCCTGACCCTCTTTTTCCTCCAATCCTTCATCACCTCCTGAAGTGTAGATTATTTTTTAAAATTCCAAGCCATCTCTGGATCTGTTGACTTGTCAACATCTCTGCGCCCCCCTCGCCATGGTCATCTTTTGCTGGGACTGCTCCAGTAGCCTCCAGTGGGTCTCTCCGCTTCGCCTCTTGCTCCTCTGCCGTTCCTCCTCTCACACCAGCAGGGGCGATCACTACGAATTCCACATCTGATCCTGTCACCCTCCCCCCACAGCCCCAGGCCTTGAAGCCCTTCAGTGGCTTCCCCTTTGTCCATAACATAAGAGCAGCCTCCTCATGTGCTTACAAGGCTCTGCAGGCCTGGCCCCTGCCAGCCTCTCTCGGGTCCCCTTTGCCCAGCCTCACCCGCCTCCTTCTCCTCCCTTGTGGGGCGGTGCTCTCGTTTTCTCCCACTACGGAGTCTTGGCACATTCTGCTCCCTCTGCCCCCAAATGCAGAGAAAGTTAGAGTCGACATTTACAAGCGCTCTGTCTGTTGTCTGGATTAGCCTTGGTGGCTCACCAGGGTAGGTGCTGTTTGTTCTCTCCTTTGTAGAGGAGGAAACTAAGGCTCAGAGAGGTGGCATTGCAGAGGTAATAGTGGGGCCAAGCCCTCAGACTCAGTCTGATTCACACTTGATGTTCTCTCCAGGACACCATTCTACTGTCCTGTAACCTGTCCCTTGACACTATGATTAGGGCTGGGGGGGTCAGGGAGACAGGCCCTCATCCCCGCAGAGGGAGGCCAGTTCTGACAGTCGTATCAAGAGCCTCAGAACTGTGATATCCTTCAGCCTGAATATCCTGCTTCTGGAGACTGTTCCTGAGGATTAGTCATCACAGAGGTTCACAGACATTTAGCTGCCAGAATGTGAAGAGCAGCACCATCTAAAATAGAGAAAATCTGGAAGGAACCAATTCTATATTGGGTGGATAAGTTAGGGTATAGCCATACCATGAAATATTTTCAGCCAGTCAAACTCATTTGATAGAGGTCGGCCTGGTGGCATAGTGACCAAGTTTGTGCACTCCGCTTTGGTGGCCCAGGGTTCACAGGTTTGGATCCTGTGTGAAAACCTACACACTGCTCATCAAGCCACGCTGTGGCGGCATCCCACAAACAAAATGGAGGAAGACGGGCACGATGTTAGCTCAGGGCCAGTCTTCCTTAGCAAAACAAAACAACAACAACAACAAAACCTCGTTTGATAGAATATTATATTATAACATGGAAAGGTCTTTTAAATGAGTTTTTTAAATTGTGGTAAAATAGACATAACATAGAATCACCATCTCAAACACTTTTAAGTGTACAGTTCAGTGGCATTAAATACATTCACGATGTTGTGCAGTGATCGCCACCATCCATCTCCAGAACTCTTTTCATCTTGCAAAACTGAAACTCTGTCCCCATTAAACACTAACTCCCCATTGCCCCTCCCCGCAGCCCTGGCAACCACCATGCTGCTGTCTGTCTCGATGAATTTGACCTCATTTAAGTGGAATCATACAGTATTTGTCCTTTTGTGGCTGGCTTATTTCACTTAACATAATGTCCTCAAGATTCATGCATGTTGTAGCATGTGTCATAATTTCCTTCCTTTTTAAGGCTAATATTCCATTTGCCACATTTTGTTCACCCATTTGTTTGTCTGTGGCGTTTGAGTTGTTTCCATCCCTTGGCTATTGTAAATAACACTGCTGTGAACATAGGTGTGCAAATATCTAAGTCCTTTTAAATAATTTTTGTGAAACAACAACAATAGATGTAGGTACATTTGTATAGTTACACCACAATAGTTGCTAATCCTGCGTGATAGGATTAGTGGGGGTTTTTAGTTTCTTATATGTTGTCTAAAATTTTTTAATTTTAATATTATTTTTACTGTTTATTATGAAAAATTAAAAACATAGGCAGAAATAGGAATAATAGTATAATGAATGCCCATATACCTATCGTCCACGCTCAGTAATTATCAGTTCACGTGCACTCATTCCCCCACTCTTCTGTATTATTTTGAATCAAATCCCAGACATATCATTTGACCTGTAAGTATCTCAGTATGTATCTCTAACAAAACAACCACAATACCACAAACACACTTTAAAAAGTTAAATATTTAACAATAATTGCTTCATAACACATTTGCAGTCAGGTCAGTATTCATGTTTCCGATTGTCTCATGAAAGCCTTTTTTTTTTTTTTTTTTTAACAATTTCTCGTTTGAATCAGGGTCCAGATAAGGCCCACATGTTGCAGTTGGTTGATATGTCTCTAAGTCTCTCTTAAATTTCCCCTTCATATATTTTCTTTTCCAAATTTTCTTTACTGATCATGATGACTTTTTTTCTGTAATAAAAAGTTGAGACGCCAAAGCCAGTGCTGGGTAAAGGTCTGTCCTCCTCCCCGACAGGACAGGGACTTCCTGGCCAAACAGAAGGAGGACCTGGAGCTGGCGATGAAGAAGCTCACGGCCGACAACCGGCGGGAGATCTGTGACAAGGAGCGCGAGTGCCTCACGAGGAAGCAGGAGCTCCTTCGAGGTGGGTGTCCGAGAACAGGTGGCGCCAGGTGGACCCAGAATCTCTGAATGGCCATCCCAGCCTCGGCAGCTAGGTCTTCTCCACCCTGAAACCAAACATCCGTCCCGGGAAACGCGAGGAAATCTCCCGCTGAAGTCAGGGCCGAGGCGAAGATAGCAGTTAGCACCAACGCTATTGGACGTTATTCCAGATGTCAAGGGGAGACAAGGAAGCCCTGTCGAGTGGGCAGAAATTGTAAATAAGTGAGCTTGGTGAGGGGGTGGTGGGAGGTGGGGACAGTATGGAGACCCCCTCATAGCAGCCGCGACGTCCTAAGCGACTGCTCTGCCAGGCCGGTGCCAGACCGTTTTCATACCTTCGTCTCGTCGAATCATCACCTGACTCTGCAAGGCCCTCCTCCTGTGTTCTCCCCGTTTTGATGGACGAGGAGTCTGAGGCTTGGAGAGTGGCTGTCGTTTGGCCGAGGTTGCACGGCTCCTGAGTGGTGGGGTGGGCCCTGGACGTGGGTGTCACCTTGGAGCCGAGCGCTTTACTACCCAGGTGCGCTGGCATCTCAACAGGCTTGCGTGCTGGCTAATGCCCCACAGCACGAGGCCTTCCAGAGACAGCAGGGCGGGCCTCCCCCAGGGAGAGGAGGGCGGGGGAGCTCCTGGGGAAGATGCGGATGGGGGGGCTTACATATTTGGATGGTGTCGCTCAGATGGGGAGATTCTGCGGTAGAGAGCTCTGAAGGGTAGCAGGGCATGGGGTCTTTGTGGCTCTGGGATTTGTCTTATCCATGGTTGGTAGACGCTGCATGCAGGTTTGTGAAGTACACAAAGCAAGCAGACTCTAATGGCTAAAAATCTGTTGTTTGAGCTACATTTGAAACAACTGGATGAGTGAAAACTCCTGTGGCGCCTGTGGGCTTTTGGGCCTGTGGTCCGGCCTGCCACGAGGAAATGGACACAGAGCTGATAGAAACGCGCCGCGTCTGGTGCCCTTGTCTACCAGGTGCCGCAGCCAGGGTTTGATGGCGATGCAGTTAAGCAGTGCAAACCCCTCAGGACTTGGGGTGGATGGCAAAATGGGGTCCTCGATGTCCCGACACCCTGAATAGAGCCATGGATGTTTCAGGAAAGGCTGCATTTCCTTTTTCTGTCCTGTAATGTCCATAAGAACCGTCTCACTTATGGGACAGTGGTTCTAGTTTTGGTTTGAAAGCCAAATCATGTTGCAATGCACCATGGTCAGACAGCAGTTTCCAGAGAACAGGAACGCAGGGCAATCCACTGAGCATTCGCCATGGGTGAGCACGGCCTGCCTGTGCCTTGCGGGGCACGCAGACTCCCTCTGACGTCAGCTCCCTGCCCTGCTGCTGAGCGCAAAGGTCGAATCACAGACGTCCACTGATAAAATGCCAGATGCTTCTGTCTCGTAATGCATATATGGGACATGCAGGGGACAAGCAGGGTCTCACCCATGTTTTCAAAAGAGGAAATAGTGACAAGAAGTCTGGGTTGGGCACAGACTTGTCTTCTTGGGGTTTTTACATGAGCCCTTCCCGTTTGCCCATTAGGAAAGCAGAGTTGCAGTGTGGATCGCACATAAAAATGTCTCCCAGGGACCTTTGTCCTTCTGTGGTATGGTTGTGCCCATTTGGCAGAGGAGTAAGCTGAGGCCTGGAGAGGGTTTTTTGCCCATCCCAAATGCCAGTGATGGAGCTGAGTTCCAGCCTAGGTCTCTGGTGTCTCTGGCTCCTGACTCTGGACACTTAATGCTGTCCCACGCTGCTGGGAGCTATCATCCCTTAGGCGTTAAGGAAGTTTCTAAATGTTGGCTCGGTGAGCCCTGCCAACAGAGTCAGATGAGGGCACATCCAAGGGGCACAGTCGTAGCTACAGTGTGAGGCGGCCTAGCGCAGGGGGGGCGAGGTCCCCGGGTGGCTTGGCCATCCGTGCCTCACAGGTGGTGCCTTCTCTGCAGACCGGGAGGCGGCCCTGTGGGAGATGGAGGAGCATCACCTGCAGGAGAGGCACCAGCTGGTGAAGCAGCAGCTCAAAGACCAGTACTTCCTCCAGCGGCACGAGCTGGTGCGCAAACACGAGAAGGTGAGGCTCCTGGCCAGGCGGGGCGTGGGGCTGCCCTGGGGAGACCCGGCAGAGCTGTGAGGCTGTGCAGTGTGGGGCGCCACTGGTGCCGTCTGTGTTTCTAGAGAAACCGGGCTGGCCATGGTGAGGCCCCGGGGGTCTTGAGGGATGGACTGCCTCGGAGGGAGGGCCAGGAGTAGGGGAGACCGTGCAGGGAAGCAGAAGGCCCGAGCATCCCTTGCTGACTCCGACGCCTGATTGTGTGTGTGTCTCACTTTTTCTCTTTTCCCTTGTAATTTTTTTGGTCCATTTTTGCTTTATTCCTCTCTGGCCTAAGCCTTCCCTCAGAATACTTTTAGATAGCAACTTAAATACCACCTCTGCCAGGAAGCCTACCCCAGCCTCCCCAGGCGAGGGCCCCTGTTCTCTGTGGCCAGAGCACCCTCTGTTTCTGTGTAATTGTCTCGGTTCAGTCCCCTTGGTGGGGACAGAGACAGATAAACGGAGGTCTGGATGCACAGCTGGTGTGGGTAATTACAGTTCCCAATCTGAGTGCAATGTCAGAAGTCAGCACAGGGCTGTGGCAGCTCTGAGTAAGCGTGCCCAACCCAGCTAGGAAGTCAGGGGAGGCTTCTTGGAGGAGGTGATGCCCGTGCCAAGTTTTGAAACACAAATAGGTGTTAGGTGGAGGAAAAAATTCAAGTTTACCAAGACTTTTTACAATGTGAGTTGACATCTGCGATCAGTAATGATGACCATCCCCTTCAGCGTACATGTTGCTTTGAGATATTAGCATGTGATGGCACGCCACCGATGATTAGACAAGAAGGCATTTAGGAGGTGAGAGTCCAAGATGTTACTCACAATAACTTTTAAAGTGAGAACAAAAAATGTTACTTAACAGTAGAAGTTGGAGCCGGCCCTGTGGCACAGTGGTTAAGTTTACACGTTCCACTTCTTGGTGGCCCGGGGTTCACCGGTTCAGATCCCAGTGCAGACATGGCACTGCTTGGCAAGCCATACTGTGGTAGGCGTCCCACCTATAAAGTAGGGGAAGATGGGCATGGATGTTAGTCAGGGCCAGTCTTCCTCAGCAAAAAGGGGAGGATTGGCAGCAGTTAGCTCAGGGCTAATCCTCCTACTCAAAAAAAAAAAACCAGTAGAAGTAAAATGATACAAGACTTGCTCTGCTGGGCATCCTGGGCCACCTGGTCCCTGGTAGCCCTGGGCCTCTGGTCACACCCCCGTGCCCAAGCGCAGCTGACCTCATCCCCGCTGGCCCTGCCTGCAGGAGCGCGAGCAGATGCAGCGCTACAACCAGCGCATGGTGGAGCAGCTGAAGGTGCGGCAGCAGCAGGAGAAGGCGCGGCTGCCCAAGATCCAGAGGAGCGAGGGCAAGACGCGCATGGCCATGTACAAGAAGAGCCTGCACATCAACGGCGCGGGCAGCCCCGCCGAGCAGCGCGAGAAGATCAAGCAGGTGGGGGTGTGGGTGCGCTGGGGGGCCGAACCTGATCCGGATGGGGGATGTGAAATATGAGAGGCAGCACAGGGTCGAGGAGGCGGCGTGCCCGTCACAGGTCGCAGCCCAGAAGCTCCTACGCCTCCCAGTGAATCCCTCTGCTGGACAGAGGAGAGAGCGCGCCTTGCTTTCTCACACACTGTCCCATCCTGCAGCTTCCTCCGCCAGTGCACCCCTTCCTGTCACCCACCAAGACCCCGCATGCATGTCACCCATGTGGCTTGGGGACGTGGAGTTGGTGGCCTGGGCTCCTGTGACTCCTGCGTGGTACACACGCTGTCCTAGCGCATGTCACAGCGCAGTGTCGTGTCCCTACCAGCCTGGGGGCTCCTCAAGGGCAGCAGCTGGGTCTCAGCTCATGGGGAGCACTTAAAACAGGAGGGTACAGCCTGAGTGGTGCGGAGCACTGGGGCTGTGCACAAACCCGTGCCTCTGGCGGGGCCTCCCTGGGACGGGGCTAAGGTAGGTCCCCCCAGCCACCAGCCAGGCCTGTCGCCCCGAGAAACCCACCCTCTCTCTCTGTTGCAGTTCTCCCAGCAGGAGGAGAAGAGGCAGAAGTCGGAGCGGCTGCAGCAGCAGCAGAAACATGAGAACCAGATGAGGGACATGTTGGCGCAGTGCGAGAGCAACATGAGCGAGCTGCAGCAGCTGCAGGTACGCCCTGCTGCCTCCCTCCCCGATGGCCTCCGTGTCCCCAAGGCGGGCATCTCGGGGCCAGAGAGTCCTCAAACAGGGACGGGCTCTCGTCAGACACGCCCCAGGTGGGCTGGTTTCAGTCCTGCCGTGACAGGATGTTGACCGAATCAGTCACCCTCCCCCAGCCAGAGTTCCCACAGCCGTGACATGGCGTGGGGCAGGGGTGGTGATTCGTATTTGACAGGATTGGGGTGAGGCTTTAAAAACGAGGTGGCAGGGCTGGCAGTGCCTTGCCCGGGACTGGCAGTGGCACTCTGCTGGGTTTCTCGGTCATCACTGTGTCTTGGGAAAAGGTGTCCCAGTTACGCTAATAGCAACGCCAGACACAGACATTACAAGAAAGGACAGCTGCAGACCAGTGTCGCTCATGAACAGAGGCAGGTCCTGTGCCCAACACCAGCAGATCACATCCGACAATGTACAACAAGAATTAGACACCGTGACCCAGTGGGTTTATCCCAGGCTGGTTACACGTTCAGAAATCAATTATGTAATCCACGACCTGAAGAGAAGTCACAGGATTTTCTCGGTAGATGCAGAAAAAGCGTTTGACCAAAGTCGACGCCCGTTCCAGATAGACACTCTCACTGAGCTGGGAATAGAGGGGAACGTCCTCAGCTGGATAAAGAGCATCTACCGAAACCGACAGCTGAGCTCAGAGCTTTCCCACTGAGATCAGGAAAAAGTGTCCCAGGGTTGCCAAGCCCCTTGGGGACCCCTTTCCCTAGGGGGATCCCTGACCTCTTCAGGTTTCCTGGCTCCTGAGTTTGCCCCACCCTGGGGGTCCCCACCCCAGAAACGGGTGCATGGAGCCCCCTTGTGGTGGAGCGAGGCATCGTTGTGCTGACGGATGGGTCGACCCAAAGCCCCACGAACTCAGGGAATTGCTCAGACGATTGGATCCATCTGGCAATTTCTGGAGAGGCAGGGAGGCATGGAGGAAATTGAGTCCTTGCAGCCTGCCAGGGAGGGGCTCTGCTGTGTGCAGCTGTGTGACTCTTGGGCCGCGTCCCTCCTGCAGCTGTTTTCCCATCCCTGCCTCATGGGGTTGTCGTGTGGACTGCCTAAGAGGACCCGTATCCAGAGTGCGGGGAGCCCAGCTCCTGGCAGGTCTGAGGTGCTGAGTGCTGCTGCTGTATTATTCCTGGTGGAACGAATTTCTAAACTCCCAGAACCCTTGAGCTTGAAACCCCAAATAAAAATCCCCCAAGGAGTTGCCCTCTTCTAACCAAATAGAGTCGAGGTCTTTGGATAAGGGCACTGTCCGCCTGCCTTAAGCTCCGTATAAGCCACAAGATTGAGTCCCTGTGGGGAATCACCGGGACCCATCCGTTCTGCCTGCGAGAGATTCCAGGTAAATTTTGTGAGGCCGATGGCTCAGCTCGGCGCGGGAACAGTGAGGCGGGCCGCCTCGGCTGGGGCTGTGGCCCTGGTCCCCTGCCACAGACTCTCCTGAGGAAATGATACGTGATGCAGAAAATTGTATATATACTTTACATAAACATGAATATTTACGCATACAGATTATCTGAGCTCAGGCTGCCGCAGCAAAATGCCCCCGACTGGGTGGCTTCAACAGCAGAGGTTTATTTCCTCATGGTTCTGGAGTCTGGAGTCCAAGAGCGGTTTGCCAGTGTGCTGGGTTCTGGTGAGGCCTCTTCCAGGGCCACGCGTGGCTGCCTCCTGCTGTGCCCTTCCTGCATGGCAGAGGGCGAGCGAGCTCTCTGGTGTCTCTGTTTATAAGGACACTGATCCCAGCGTGAGGCCCCCCCTCCAAATACCAGGGCTGCAACATAGGAATTTGGGGGGGGCACAATTCAGTCCACAGCACAGATGTTTGACACAGTGCTGTTTATAACTGTGAAAATTAGGAGCAACCTACGTGGCCAAAAATAAGGGGATGTTTAAGTAAATTTGATAAATCTATTCTGTAGGATGTTTTGTAGGCGTTAAAAATGAAGACGAGGAAAAACGTGAATTCTTTGTATTAATGTTTACAGTGTGAAGTAGGGAGGGAAGCGGGTGTCGGAGCTGTGCACACAGGGTGAGCTGGACAACATGGAGGTGACAGCCTGGGAGGAAGTGTGTTGAAATCTTTGCAGTGGTTGCCTCGTTGTGGTGGGAGAATTAGGGCACACGTTATATTTATTTGTTGTTAATAGTTTTATTGTTTTGGTAAAATGACGTATGTTCATGTTAAAAAGTTCAAACAATGCAAAAAGCACAAAGAAGAAAGGTACAAAATTACCGCAGATCCGCTGTACAATAAGAACCATTAGCGTCAGTGTTCTGGAATGGTCCTCCAGGCAGCCCTCAGGGCATTTCTGTTTACATGTACAGAGTTTTATAAAGTGGGTTTATAATCAAGGAGAAGAAATAGATGAGTGACGCTGATGCCCTCATGGCTACAGCACGAGGTGTGTCTCAGCCCTCCGCACCTCTACCCTCTGGGTTTCTTACCTGTTGCACCTGGAATTTGTTACAGAATGAAAAGTGTCACCTCCTGATAGAGCATGAAACCCAGAAGCTGAAGGCCCTGGACGAGAGCCATAACCAGAACCTGAAGGAATGGCGGGACAAGCTTCGGCCACGCAAAAAGGTAAGCATGTCTGGGCTAGGGGGCTCAGTGGTCAGCTCTGCTCCATGCTGTGTCACAGGTGTCTGCCTAGAAGGTGGATATAGACATAGATAGCTAGAGGTTCATTTTAAGGAAGTGGCTCACACAATTGTGGGGGGATGGTAAATGTGAAATCTTCAGGGCAGGTTATAAGCTGGAGACCCAGGGAAGCGTTGCTGTTGCAGTCTTGAGTCCCAGGGCAGTCTGGAGGCAGAATTCCTTCTTCCTTCTCTTACAGCCTTCACCTGATTGGATGAGGCCCACCCACATTATGGAGGATAATCTGCTTTACTCAGAGTCCACTGAGTTAAATGTTAATCACATCTAAAAATTCCTTCACAATGAGATCTTGACTGGTGTTTGACCAAACAGCTGGGTACCATGGCCTCCCAGGTTGACACATAAAATCAACCATTACAGGGCCTCAGTGTGGTCATTTATAAAGTGGAGATAGGAATATTGTATATGTTATGCAAAAAGCCACCAGCCCGTACTACAAGCCAAGGACGTGCTCATTTCCTTCCTCTCTCCTAAACTCTCTGAGGACAGAGCGACCCAGTTACCCTGATCATGGGTCCTGAAGCCCCGAGGTCTGTTCGGCCGTCATCCGTCAGCTCTGCTTGCTGGAACTGTGGCCTGGACAGGAGGCAGCTGCCCACCTCAGCTAGGTGATGGCCTCGGAAGGCCTTGAGTTGAGGCCTCTCTCCCTGTGCTAATGGAGCTTTCTGGCCGGAAGTTGGCCAGGGTCTCAGACCTTCTGTTAGCAGGCCTGTGTTTCTCAGTGTCTGTAACCACAGCCTGCTGGGACTTTGGATACTTGACACTGAAATCAGTAATGCTCCTGCTGACATAGGCTGACTCTGGCATCAGGAGATAAATGTTCACCTTATTCTCTTAGCTGGGGGCTCTGTACCCTTGGCACATCCTGAGAGAGGTTGAAAATGAACGGTCACGTTGCTCTGGCAACTGCCTCACATCCCAGACTGTTGGCAGAGGCAGAGGGGAGGCCGCAGGGTGTGTTTGGGAGCTGGCATTGACTTGCCTGCGGGGGCTGCCTCTCTGGACGATTCTTTGTAGGCCTGTTATATTATTGCCACCTGGGTTGCTGCTGAGACACTGACCAGAGGCGGTGGCTTTCCTTCTGGAATAAATGTTCTTTTACACTCTTGCATTGCAGCCAGCAGCCTTGAGCTGCTGCCTATGCGTGGGGGCAGAGTAGCTGATTGTATGTTGTGGAATGTTTTTAGAAAAATTCAATTTGTTTCTTTCAAATAAGTAAAGAATATGTGGTGGGGTCAATAAAGCGTTGCTTGGGTTATAGTTAACACAGAAAGTGGCTTCAGACACGACAAGTCTTCCCTCCTAAGCCTTGCTTTTTGAGTCTGTGAAATGTAGAGAACATTTCTTCCCTTAAAGCAGGTGTTAGTAAACTATTGCCCATGGGCCAAATCTGGCCCCCCGACTTGTGTTTGTAAATAAAGTTTTATTGGAACACAGCCATGCTCATTCATTTACATGTTGTCTGTGGCTGATTTTATACCACAACAGCAGTGGCATAGTTGCAAAACAGACCTTATAGCCCGCAAACTGAAAGTATTTGCCATCTGGCCCTTTACAAGAAAAAGACTGCCAACTCCTGCCTTAGGTTATAGAGAGGAATATATGCGGTAGGCAGAGTAGACTAGTGCTTAAGAGCACCAGCTTTGGAATAAGACAGAGTGGGATAAAGTCCCAGCTCCCCTATTACTAGCTGTGAGACCCTGTGCTCAAAAAGGGGGTTTTATAATTAAATTGGTATTCCTACAGCAGAGGTCACAAACTGATGGTCTGTGGGCTGAAATTGGCTTACAGATGTTAGGTTTGGCTAACGTATAGTAGTATAATTTTTTTAAAGTTGCCAACCTTTAAGTAGAAGGAAATTTTACCTAAAAATCTGGATTTCCAGTTTCTTTTGAAAACCCATGGGCCGGCCCAGTGGCGCAGCAGTTAAGTGTGCACATTCTGCTTTGGCAGCCCAGGGTTCGCCGGTTCGGATCCTGGGTGCAGACATGGCACCTCTCGGCAAGCCACGCTGTGGCAGGCATCCCACATATAAAGTAGAGGAAGATGGGCACAGATGTTAGCTCAGTTTTCCTCAGCAAAAAGAGGATTGGCAGATGTTAGCTCAGGGCTAGTTTTCCTCAAAAAAAAAAAAAAAGAAAACCCAGGAGCTCTAGCAGCACTGGGCTGATCGTACCACATGACAGCCGTCAGCTGGAGCTGAGAAGAAACGGCCCTCTTCAGACATAGCTTGTGCTCTTCACCTCACCACACTCCCCACCACTCCTTATTGCCTCACACCCAGCTCTCTTCACTAACTTGATTCACCTGGCTGGCTCCCATAGGCACTGGATTTTGTCATCTCCATTACAAAAGCTTAAACTACCACCTGTATCTTGCTTATATATAATGTTTGCATGCCACAAACACTTTAATATTAATACCTTCAGCAAAGGAGAACTTGAGGCAAGAATCTGTGTGAATTACCAGCAGTTTCACATTAGTCAACTCCAAGATGAGGCGTGACTTCAAATACCTTGCCTACCCTCACATGGATGTCCTTTAATAACAGGTTGGAAAAACTGACATTGTCATTCAGTGTCCTTTCCCCATCATTCCTTAGAGGTAGAGGGAACTCACCAGAATTTAGTACTATTGAGGGAACAAGAGCTTAAGGGGGGATCTGGTCATTAAGGCATTTGTTAACTTGAGACTATTTCAGGGCGTCCAAAGAATAGTCTTAAAAAAAGAGACATCACGGAATGCTGGTCAAATCCTGTGAAAGCAGACATTTCTATAGTGACAGTCAGGATAGCTGCAGACGCCTCTCACTGATGAAGCCGCATAGACCGAGCAGCCCGTGTGCGCCCGGCTTTGCGGATGGCGGGCACAGTGTTCAGAGCTTGAACCCTGAGGTTAGGCCGAGGTTCCCGTCTTGGCTGCACCCCCCAGCTAGCTGAGTGACCTGGGGCAAGTGACCTAAGCTCTCTGAGCCTCGGTTTCTCCATCTGTAAGATGGGGATAATAATAGTATCTCCCTTATGGGGGGAAGATTAGCTAAGATGTAAAGCACTTGGCACAGTGCCTGACGTGGGAAGCACTCAGTCATCCTGACCTGCTAGTTTTTTTTTTTTTTTAAAGATTTTATTTTTTCCTTTTTCTCCCCAAAGCCCCCTGGTACATAGTTGTATATTCTTCGTTGTTGGTCCTTCTAGTTGTGACATGTGGGACGCTGGCTCAGCGTGGTTTGATGAGCAGTGCCATGTCCGCACCCATGATTCGAACCAACGAAACACTGGGCCGCTTGCAGCGGAGCGCGCGAACTTAACCACTCGGCCACGGGGCCAGCCCCATGACCCACTAGTTTTTAATTTAATCCTCACCACAGTCCTGCTGGGCAGGTAGTGATCCTGCCATTTTACACATGAGGAACAGACGTAGAGAGGAAGGGGACATGGAAAGGCCACACAGCTGGTAGTAATAAAGCTGAACTCTGACGGGGAAGCCCGTGTTCTTTCCACCACCCTCTGGTTCCTTTCTTTCTTTTTTCTTTTTTTTTTTTTGAAAGATTTTATTTTTTCCTTTTTCTCCCCAAAGCTCCCCGGTACATAGTTGTGTATTCTTCGTTGTGGGTTCTTCTAGTTGTGGCATATGGGACGCTGCCTCAGCGTGGTCTGATGAGCAGTGCCATGTCCGCGCCCAGGATTCGAACCAACGAAACACTGGGCCGCCTGCAGTGGAGCGTGCGAACTTAACCACTCGACCACGGGGCCAGCCCCTCTTTCTTTTTTCTTTTAATTTATTTTTCCTTTTTCTCCCCAAAGCCCCCTGGTACATAGTTGTATATTCTTCGTTGTGGGTCCTTCTAGTTGTGGCACGTGGGATGCCGCCTCAGCATGGTTTGATGAGCGGTGCCATGTCCGCGCCCAGGATTCGAACCAACGAAACACTGGGCTGCCTGCAGCGGAGCGCGCGAACTTAACCACTCGGCCACGGGCCCAGCCCCACTCTGGTTCCCTTCTTAAATGAATGCTTATTATTGGAGACCCTCAGGAGATTCTTCTGGCAGAATCCGGTCTGTCTAGGCAAACTTCACGTGACCCAGGGACGTCTGCAGTGCTTGTCACCAGATGGTCCGCACGCAGTTACCTGACGTGCTTTCACAATACACACAACTCCTGTCCTGCCACAAATCTTCAGAATCAGACTCTCAGGGGGTGGCGTGAAGGCACGAGTATTTTGAAAAATCTCCCTGCATGGTTCTGCAGGACAGTGCCCTGATTCCTAACAACTGTGTAACTCAGACATCTCTGCTCCCCCCACAGTTAGATCTCTCTCTCCATGTCTACCTTGGGTTTTTCTCCATTCATTTGGCTGTTTTCCTGCCAGCAGATTGGCATCTGCTTTTTCCCCACCCACATCCAGATTAGCGTCTCTGTAAACCGGAGCCCTTGGCCCACAGGAAACTCCTGTGCGGCTGTGGCAGGAGGAAGGAGGTGGTACTTCCTTCTGGGTGACGGGCTCTGGGAAGGGGAAGTGGGAAGACCAAGTCACCCAAGCACCAAGGCCTGGGAGGGAAATGTCCAGAGAAGGCCACTTTGGTGGGGGGCCTGTGCTTGGGAGACCGTGTCCCATGGGATCTGATGCGCTCCATCTGCCCTCTCTGTCCCAGGCTCTGGAAGAAGATCTGAACCAGAAAAAGCGGGAGCAGGAGATGTTCTTCAAGCTGAATGAGGAGATGGAGAGCCCGAACCCCACCACCCCGAACAAGGCCACCAAGTTCTTCCCCTACAGCTCTGCGGATCCTTCTTAACAGCCCCGGGACTGTGCTGGCAGGTCGGCGGGCCTCTGGGGCCCTCCTATTCTCTGTGAACAAGTAACTCAGGACCCCCTTCCTCTTGCTTCCATGCCAGCTCGAATCCAGCCCCTAGCCTTGTGCCACCCCAGCTGTGCCCGACAGCCCCACCCCGGTGTTCCTGACTTCTTGCTCACTCAGAGGGTGAAGTTTTATGATGTCACCTGATCCTAGTGAATGTTCTCTTTGAGCCCCAGATCCTGCCAAGATGTCAGTGATTTGGGCTGTTAGAGGGGTCAGGGTCCAGGAGGAATGGGGGTGCTGTGGCCTCGAAGCCCCTCCTGTTTGCCAAAACACCAGTTTTGCTGTTTGTGGCCACAGAGTGCTGCCACTGAGGTCACCACAGGCCATCCATATGGTGGCTATTCAGCCATTCCCTGCAGTGTCCGACAAGAATCACGGCTCCTACCAGCCGTTTTGGTTCCCATGGGAGCCTGGCCTGCAGCCAGCCGCTCAGGGGTGCCCTCGTTCCTCCAGTCCCTTCAGTTTGCTTTCCTCTTGAGACAGGCTGTGTCTATGACAGTGGGATGGGGGAGAGCCTGGACCGTTCATCCTGCTGGTCTCGGGTGTTTTGTGCCATCTCGTGTTCCCACTTTCTACACACACATGTGCACGCGCAGGGCTTGGCCCCTGGCACTACCCAGGCTTGCCTCTGCCCTGGCCTCTTGTGCCACGTAGGTGGGAACACGTTGGCTGCCTAGGCCTGCCCCTGAGCATGTTAGGTGGAGCCATTGGTGTGGGGTGTGCTGGGTGTCGGCAGCAGAGACACAAGGTAGCACGGGCTGAACTGTCAGTCTGCTTCCTTTTGGCCCCATGTGGGATCCTGTCTTCAGGGATGAATTCCTCATCACACGAGACCTTCACAACCCAGTCCGCTCCCATCTCAGCCTTGCCCATCCCGTCTGCAGGCGATACGGGAAAGCCACTGCCTCCCGCCCTCTGGCCCTCCTAGTTCAGGAGTCTGGCCTTACGCTCACACAGAGGAAGGCAGTCACTGGGACTTCTGTTCAGGAAGAAAAAGTGTCAGGGAGAAACGTCATGCCTCCTGCCCCCAGGAACACGGCAGAAGCAAAGCTTCTGTGTCTCAGATGGAGTCCTGGGCCTTGGGTCCCCCAGTCAGCCTCCCACAGATTCCCATCCCCACTGGCTGCAGAGTGTGGATAACCCATAAAAGCAAAGCTCAACCCAGCATTCAGTTTATTTACAAAGAAAACTTTTTTCCACCTTGATTTCTAACTTGAAACAAATATAAGTGAATGGCTTTTTCAGGAAGATACCTGCTTTAGAAAAATAAAACAGAAAATGGAAGATGATTTCAAGGAAGCGTGTGGGCATATAGAGTCTGGGTACTGCTTTGCTGGTGATGGAGGGGCTCACACACCCGGGAGGCCGTTCTCCCTTCTTCACTCCGAAAGGTGAAGGTTCCACGCTTTGTCTTCCTGAGGCAGTTCCCTGGAAGGCTTCTTGGCACTGGTTCTAACTGGATCTTGGGAAGGGAGGGTGGCCGTTGACCAGGAGAAGGACCCGGGGTTCCCAAGTCTTACATACGCAGTAAAGATGCCCTGGGGGCCGTGGGAAGGCAGTGGTCCTCTTAGGTTAGTGAGGTTCCACTTGCCTGCTCCAGTATTTGACCCAGATAGGACAGTTTTCAGGTCTCACACAAATGAGACAAGTGGAACTGTTGTCCCCGTTGGTTCTCCGTGGTGCATGTGCTGGGAGAACGAGAACTACAGCAGTGCAACTGCAGAACGCAGGCCCAGTGCCGCCAGGCGAGGCCAGCGCGGGCACATCGTCAGGCAGGCCTCACTGGGGCTTTGTTCACCATCCTGCCTTTTCCAGCCGTCGGTGCGAGAATGAGTGTGGGGGAAATGCCGGTTTTGTGGTTCAGGTGATGTCTTTAATCCTTCCCTTATTGGGCTTGTCATTCACATTGGAATCTCGTTCAAGGAGGTGCCGTTTCTCTGCTCGGTGCCACCCGAGCCCCCGGAGCTCCCGGTCCTTCCTGGCTGGGGCTGGTCGGGTCTCCCAGCCTCACGGTCAGTGCTCACCGCTGAGAAGGCCCGCGCAGTGTTCCTCGCGTCCCGTGCTAATGTTTGCTCTGTAAGGGCCAGGTGGAACTGTTTCTCATTTTCAGCCCATTTTTGGCAGAGTAAATATAACTAACTTATATTTTCCCTTTATGAAGGATAGAAGTTATTTTTATGTAGTTTCCAAACTTTATGCAAAACGTTTGTAAAATGTTCTCTGCAAAGTTAACTGCAAAAATGTAAATAAGCTTTTAATAAAATAACAAAGTGAGAAACTCGGTTTTGCACTTGAGGTCATTCTCTTGGGTTGTGGGTGAAGAGCAGGGCAGACTTACCCACATTTGTGGGTCAGGAAAGGGATTACCATCTTCTGAGCACACTGGGTTGTCCCGCAGGCTGCGGGGTTTCTGTTCTGAAAGAAGTTAGGCGTGGCTCTGTGTGGCTGTTATCTCCAGACCTTTCATATCATTCTCGTTTAACCACAAGCGTTCCACCTCTTAAGAGTTTTCACATGGTAACTTCCCGAATCCTTTCAACAGCCGTGAAGACGACATTGCCGTTCCCATTTTATAGAAGAAGAAATGGACCCTGGGCAAGGGGAGGGTCAGGCCAAACCTGCCAGCACCGGGATTCCAGCTGCGCCCTTCTGGCGGTGCCGTGTCCACCACACCTCCTCCCCCACCCCAGCTGCCCATCACACTCAGCAAGTCACGCAGGCACTTAGCCCCAGCCATCTCTGCTGTATTTCACAGTGTTTCTCTGCCTTGCCTCCCAAACACCATTTAGGGGTTCTTCGCCTGGGATCCATGGGCCCCCCGCCCCCAACAGGGGATCCGTGGGCAGAATTCTGGGTGTCTCTGTTGCACTAACGTCTGACATTCGGCATTTGCTTTCCTTATGGTGTAGGTAACGAACTCCAGTGGTCTTAGCCGTCCCTGTGACCATGTCAGCCATCAGAGTTCAGCTCACCTGACAGCTGTTGCAGACATCTCAAATTACATTTTTGTTCATCGGTTTGAAATTATAGTAGTTATTAGGCCTATCGCTAGGTCTTGTTACTTAATGAGAAATAATACATCTGTCGTATTACATATATATCACACATAGTTTTCTAGTATTTTGAAACCTGTATTTCATTATGATTGGCTGTACTTGTAATCTCTGTGCTTTATCTTGCGCATCTGAAAATAGCATTCTGAGAAGGGGCTCCTGTTCTTCGTGGAATCCCCTAGGATGAAGCACCCTGACTCTCCAGCCCTGAGCTGTCACTGTCCTAGAAACCTTCTGGCCAGCAGGTGGCGAGCCACTGTCACAGTGTCCTGCAGGTCTGTGAACTTAGAGGGTCTAGGATTTGCAGGCGAATAAGCAGCTGGCATGCCTCTCCCATTAAGGGCCAGCAAAGTGACTGGGGTTCCTGGGGAAGAGACTGAGACTGGCAAAGACGACGACGCATAGGGGATGCGTAGAGCTTGGGAATGAGATCATCCCACGTTAACCGACGCTTCTTAAATACCAAGTGCTGGAGAGGCTGAAATACGTAAGACACTGACACTGTCTTCCAAATGCTTGTCCTGCTGGGGAAACAGACGTGGAGAAGCAGAGGGTCGGTTCAGGCTGACATAGCCGGGGAGAGTCAGGGAAGACTTCCCAGAGGCGGTGGTGCTGAGCCTGGGAAGACGAACTAGTATGTGCCCAGACACACGCACTCAGAGACTGGGGTTGAGGGTGAATGGTTTATGGGCCACGAGGCTGGAGAGGACAGGGCCAGGCCCACGTGCTGGGCTCAGACTGCTCTCTGCTGCCCTGAGGGCAGTTAGAAGGCTGGGCGAGAGTTTACTCAGGAAGAACAGTTGAAATCATGACTGTAGCAACTCAAGAGACCAGCTGAGAAGGCAGGCGACGATGCTGCGTGTGAGTACTGGCGCACAAAGACTGGAGGCTTCGGGAAGGAAGGGCAGACCACAGGCTCCATGAGGACAAGGAGTGAGACTAGCTGGCTGCTAAGCACCCAGCACTCAGCGTGCTGGAACACCAGCGATACCCACGCTGGGCTCCTCATGCCATAACGGGTCTGCAGAGGGAGCAGTGGGGGTCTGGGGGCTGTGGACTGGATGCATATTAACCCACTATGCTCCCCGAGGTGTTCACTAGATCTGATTAACAAGTGTGTCTTTCATTAAAAATAAAACTGCAAGAACTTCCACTTTCAGTGATGGCAGACTTGGTAATTCAGGTCAGTCCTAACACTGAGGACAATCAGAAAAGCTGGATAAAAATACTAAACACATCTATTTCAAGGCATGTGAGGATTACAAGATAGAGGAGAATTACCAGACCTGGATTCAAGCAAGGATGGAGAGCCAGAGAGAGGATGCTGGTATTCTGCTCTGGGCACATTTGCTGATCCCAGAGTGGGTAACAGATAAGGAGCTGAGCTTCTGACCAACCTCCCAGGGCTAAGAGCATGAGGATTAAGGCCAGGGTCTGATAAGGGCAGGGTGGAGGGGACCCGGTGAAACCATTCCCTTTGTAGGGACCTCAAAGGGGTACACCCATGAATAAGAGTAAACCTGATGTTGACAGGCCTCCTAGGGACCGTATTTCTCTTTCAAATAATCAAAACCTCTGAAATTGGCCTGGGGTGATCCAGGATTGCTGGTGCTCACAAGCACCTGGCAGAAGCAATGGTGAGTGAATCCTGTCTGGAGGAGAACAGTGTCTTAGGCTTCAGTTATTTCTGCAAACAATTTTACAAATCAAATGCTTAGCACGCAATTAGGAAATAGCTCGGTGCATAAAGAAAACTTTAGAACTAAACCCAGCAGAAACATGGACATCAGAAGCAGACCAGGAGGGGCACCAGATGCTGGAGGAGTCTGACTATTAAAACACTATGCTTATTATGTTTGAGCAGATACAGGACATGATTTGAAATTTTCAGCAGAGAGCTGAAAATGAAAGTCTGAAAAAGAACTAAGTGTTCTAGGGGGCTGGCCCCATGGCCGAGTGGTTAAGTTTGCACGCTCCGCTTCAGTGGCCTGGGGTTTCTCCAGTTCGAATCCCGGGTGCGGACACAGCACTGCTCATCAGGCCATGCTGAGGTGGCGTCCCACATGCCACAACTAGAAGGACCCACAACTAGAATATACAAGTATGTACCAGAGGGCTTTGGGGAGAAAAAGAAGAAGAAGAAAAAAAAAAGAAGATGGGCAACAGAAGTTAGCTCAGGTGCCATTCTCTAAGGAAAAAAAAGAAGTAAAAAGTCTCGATGTGAAACAGAAATAACTGAAGCGCTCAGTCTGTAGGCACAACAGTGGACTCCTCAGAGGCCTCTGTCCCCGTTCTCTATCCTTCTTACCTCTACCAGTCCTCATCGTATCACTTTGACTGGGATGATGAGGCTTTGAAAAACATTTTCGTTACCGATTCCACAAGAAAGGGAACGTGCTGAAATCTGATGAAACAGGAGAACCAACAAGATGGGTGACTCTTCCTTCAGGACAGCAAAACACCAGCAGGGACAAAGCTGAATCCATCAGAATCTCTCTCTGGGCCAGTGAGAAATGGAAGTCGAGAGGCTGAAATGTCACGACGGAATGAGGAATCAGAGAGGCCAGAAGGTGCCAAGTGCAAGCTAAAGTTAGAAAGGAGCCGAAACTCCAGGATGGCTGCTGACTTCCTGGCTGTGCTGATCAAGCAGGTAGAGATGTCATTTACAGAATTAGAAAGGACTGGCACGGGACAAAATTTGGTGTGGTGACAGGAGGGAATCACAAGTTCAGTTTTAAAGTGTGGGCTCCAAAAACATGTTTAATGTTGCACATATTAAATTTGAGATCTCTACAAGACAACCAACGAGGAATGTCGCTCGTCTACATACCACTCGTGCTCAGAGGAAACATCTGGGCTGGGAATATAAATTTGAGAATAAGGTATGAAGTGGGTAGTTGAGAAAAATGAAGTAGGAGAGAGAGGCGTGACCAGACAGACAGACGTAACCCAAGAAATGAGTAGGGATTTTATCCTGAAGGCCACATGCGACGTCAGCCTCGCATTGTAGACGGGTGACCAGGCGCAGTGTAAAGGGTGTGTGGGAGGGGCAGAGGCTGCAGGGAGGATGATGGTTAGCATCTGTAGAGTAAACCAGGTAAGAGATGGGAATTCTCAGCTGCAGTTTTATATCCTGACTCTTTTATATTATGAGCATTTAACAACGTCACTGAAAGTCCTCTGGAAACACGGGTTTTTTAAAATTTTTATTTATTTTTTTTTTGAGGAAGATTAGCCCTGAGCTAACATCTGTTGCCAACCCTCTTATTTTTGCTGAGGAAGACTGGCCCTGAGCTAACATCCACGCCCATCTTCCTCTACTTTATATGTGGGACGCCTACCACAGCATGGCTTGCCAAGCGGTGCCATGGCCGCACCTGGGATCCGAACTGGCAAACCCCGGGCCACCAAAGTGGAACGTGTGCACTTAACTGCTGCGCCACCGGGCCAGCCCCTGGAAACATGGTTTTAAATGGCTAAATAATCTACCCATTTGTCAACGTACCTAATCTATTTAACTGCTACTGTACAGTTAGGCACTTTGGTTATTTTCAGGTTTGTGGTCAGGAACTTTATTGTTTCACACAACTACCTATCCTTCGTGCCAGGTAAAATCTTTTTCCCCTGCCTTGGTGATAAAGTCTCTGGCAAATCTCATAGCTTTCCTAAAATTATTTGGTCAAGTCTAGTTACCAAGTTTACTTTCTCATTTGATTTAAAACTTTTTCTCATTCAGCTCAAGCCTGAACTAGACTTAGAAGCTTGTAGTGAAAAAGACTGAAAAGCCTGGCCTGGTTGGGATGATACTCCCCAACTGCACCATTTCATCCAGCCCCTACATTTCTCGACCCCTGCAGTTAGGCAGCGCCTTGTGACTCATTCTGCCCAACGACATGTGACTGTCATACCTGTGCTGAAGCCCATGCATAATCCTCCCCTTAAAACAATTGGGGAAGCTGTGTATTCAAGATGGTGCAGAACAGGGGCTGGCCCCATGGCCGAATGGTTAAAGTTCCGTGTGCTCCACTTTGGTGGCCCAGGTTTGTGGGTTCATACCCAGGCGTGGACCTACTCCACTCATCAGCCATGCTGTGGAGGCAGCCCACATACAAAATAGAGGAAGATTGGCAGAGATGTGAGCTCAGGGCTAATCTTCCTCAAGCGAAAAAAAAGGAAAACTGGCAACAGATGTCAGTTCAGGGCAAATCTTCCTCAACAAAAAAAAGAAAG